CAATCCGCCCGAGTACTGGAGGCTAGCAAGCCTTTCAGGGATTGAATGTAGAACCTGTTCACTGCCGTCTACAACAGGGAGGATTCTCACATGGAACTCAGGGTATCCATGATCGAAGGCGCTTCTACCAGTTAAATCCAGAGAAACCAGGTCGAGAACCTTGTACTGCGTGTTGGCAGTTGTGCTCAGTGGAGAATCTAAAGTTGCCACTCTATTGATGGTGTAGTCAGTGATCTGTCTCCATTCATTCGTTGAATCAATGTAGAGGATGTAGTTCCTGTACGCTTGACCGACAGCAGACGAGCTGTTACCAAGCTTCACAACAGAAGCTGAGATGTACTCCATCGTCCCGAAGTCGACGAGTCTTGCTGTGCCTGGGTTCCCAGGTCTCACGCCGGAGTCGGCAATCTTGCGATTGTTCTCGTACTCATCTCGCGATTGCAAAGTGAAATAAGCTGTTTGACCAGCAGTTGCAAGGGAAAGCCCTTCACCAAATGCTGAGGACTGGGTCGAGCAGACTTCGGCAGGCTCAACATACAAAGGTTGATCCAAATTGCTCAACATCGCGGTTGTGGTCCAGGTGAATAGGGAGGAACTGGGAACAATTTCCTTCATTTGTGTCTTGCTGCTCCATCGTAACTGAACTGAAGCATTACCACTCACTTGCTTATACTCAAGTCGGATAGGATATTTGGTGTCGGCCATGAGGGCAATTGTACCATCAACCTCTGATATGCGCGAATACCAGTGATCAAGAATCAATAGGTCGTTCACATACAGTTTTGCACCATCGTCACAGTAGACGCTGAAGGTGAAAACTTCGCTGTACTTTGGCTCAACCATTCCTTGCCACCTTGCAGAGAAATAATCTGGCCCGATGTCCTTGGAGTCAGAGATGTCAACCACTGTGTAGTTTGAGCCTGCGGCAATTGGACTGATGAATGGCGGCTCGACTCGAACTACTCTATCGCCGCTTACAAAGATCGACTTTCCAACTGGACTGGAGGTCAAAGGAAGATCGATCAATGCTGTTTGGTAGCGAGAATCAAAGCCAAGGACGATGCGTGACTCGTAGCTGTGAAAAACAACATCAGTTTAGGTTAGATAGACGTTGCAACAAAACTTGCCTGTTTGTCAGATTCTCGTAAACGAAAATGGTCCAACCATCGTAATAATGGTTTGTAGCAGCTGCAGTATCTGTCAGGTTCAACTGAACATAGGTATCGGTTGAGTTGTCCCCAGCAAATCCATGTTTTCCTGCAGGACTGAACTGAACGATCTGTCTTTCTTCGTTGCCAACAACGATTCTAGCTCCAACGTAGTACTGAGCGTTTGACAGAGCTGAATTCGGATCAAGAGTGACTTGATCAAAGGGATCAGATAAATCTCCCGATATCAAGACACCTTTGCTCATCACCATGCCCAAGTCGGTGACTGAACCTACGGGACGTCCAAGTCCCCAAGTGAAATCGATGACGGGGTCAAGCCTCTCGAAAGCTCTAATATGACTCAAGGTCCCATCTGGAGCGACAGCATGATCCGTAAGATCGTCGTTCTCGTAATACTTTCCGTACAATCCTCCTGGTGATAAGATACGTCCTCTCAGATTGTAGCTTTCGGTGTTTGTGACAGTATAGTTGACTTGGTAGCCTCCGTTACGTACGTACTGAACTGTGCCCAAACTGACAACACTTCCGCCATCATAATCACTGTTTTGTGCCATCATGCTGCTGTTTGGTAAAGTAGCATTTGCAACAATGGCCCTGACAAATAGGTTATTTCAATACAGTTCCAACAGAATTCCACTTACCACTCAAATTGTCTCTGGTCGTCGGTAAAGTTGAATAGTCGTTTGTTGTCAAATGCATCTCTGCTCTGAACAGTGAAGCTCGCAGCGACACCTGCAGTGGCAATGGACAGGCCGGATTTGTAAACTCGTGATTTGGACGCACAAGTCATATTCTGCTCGACATAGACTTGTAGTGGACTGCTCCCTACATGCTGTGAAAAGAACAATCGAGAGCTTGAAATGACAGATTGGTCATGTGTGAATGAAGACCATTTAAGCTGAAATTTTGAAGTGGCAGTACTGGACGCAGTCGCAGTCTTAGCTGCGCACTGTATTTCGTAGTAAACTCCTTTCTCCAGAGCGATGCTTCCTGAAGGTGCGGACGATGAAGCGAGAGAGGACCATTGTTGGATAATGAGGCTATTGTCAACCCACAACTTCACTCTCTCCATTTTGTCTGTGGATGATACATCTCCACCAAAGTAGAAAGTATACACCTCTGAAACACTCGGCAAGATCATTCCAGTCCATCGCGCAGCCCATGCAGTTTGTCCTGAAATTGGAGTGGGAGCAACGGCTGTGACACTGAAATCGATTGTGGTATCGGATTGAACCACGCGCGAGCTCCCTGCCACACCGAACAGAGTTGAATCCGAAACATCACTCGTAGATCCAATATAGTACGTGGCTTGTAGTCCACCGGCTACAGCAAGCGAGGTCCAGATGTAATTGTTGCCACTTCTGGTGGCAGTGTAAGACACAGTGTAGGTTCCGTCGCCTTGGTCCATGACGATTGGATGCTTATCTCTTCCACCAACAGTTGTCCAGTCACTGTTATACGTCATCCACGTGTCGCATACTTGACCAGGCGGGGTGAGAGTGGAGCACTCTACGTTGCGGTATTGTTTCAGGACGGCATCAGTTCCATTTTCGTATCCATAGTACTGTCGAACGACTGCGACAAAGTTGTCTCCGAATTCCCAATTCCTTGCATTCCCATACATATCTGCCAAAATCGTCAATATCGCAAAACATCATCTAGAATTTAAGTGGTACCTCGAGATTGAATGGTGTAAGTTGCTTGGATTCCAGCAGTAGCAATGGTCAAAGCACTGCCCATGACACTGGAAGTGACTGCACAAGCAGGTGCAGGATGGATCGCGAGTGAGAACGGAGATCCGAGTACCGAGCTCTCGTGCGAAGTTGCACTGCCCCCGACGAGCAAGGAATACATTCCACTCCTTGTGATGATGTACCGTAAGATCAATCTTGGATTGTCTAGAGTAGTTGGTGTAGCAATTTGAGTGCCCCTGAGGCTAATATCACCGATATAGCTCAATTGATCTGCAAAGGCGGGCTTGTCACCACTTTGCAACGTCTGCTGATTAGTGCTAACAAAGTCTGTGCTGTTGAGAGAATCGCTTGCAAGAATTTTGATTCCTGCGAATGCTACACTAGGATCTGGTTGCCAATTTTCATGCCTATCCCGTACTGTAATGGTGATCGATGACAAGATACCAGCGCTAGACAAAGTCAAAGCAAGACCTGTCGTTGGGCTGTTGATCAGATGCCTTCGTGCAGGTTGCACACTTAAACGATAGGGTGAGTTATGAACTCCGCTTGCACCAAAGACAACACTGACATCATACGTGCCGGATTTTGTTGCAGTGAAAATGACACGGTAATTCCCTGGATTTGTAACTTGCATGTCTTCGACGACACCAGCAAGCGAATCCACTCCAGTGAGACGCACTTTGAATCGCTCCCCACCTACCAGTCGGAGGTTGCCATACAAATCTCGTGCAGTGATTGTGAATTCAGCTTGATGCCCAGCTGTTGACAATTCTAGGCTGTCAGTCTCTCCGAGGGTTTGAGGAGTAACAATTGACTTGGAGGCGCAAGTACCTGACAAAACCGAATCGTGAGTTCAGAAAACAATTGAAAGCATACAAAGATGCATACCAGCAGGATAAACGGAAACAAGCGAGGGAATATCCATGACATCCTGGCCGAGGAACAAGGAAGCGGAACCAAGTACTGTCTGAGCTAAATCAGAATACTTCCATTGCAAACTGGCGCTTGGATTCAAAGAACTTGTCTGCTCAAACTTGTATTCAACCTTCAAGTCATAGTAGTATGTTGCACGGAGATCAATGGTTCCAGAATCAGTGACTGAGCTTGAGTCCCACTGATTGATCAGAATCATGTTGTCAACCCACACTCTGACTGCTCCACCATTGCCCGATGCAACCCATGTAAAGGTGTAAACGTCATCTGCCTCCGGTCCCAAGAATCCAACATATCGGACAGAAAAGTTCCCCTCACTTGGTAGTGAGTGCTGCATAGAGCTGTCGTACATCAAGGTCTGAACAGCAGAATCGCCCTGCTCGTACTTTTGCGGCATCGAAAATCCATAATCGGAATAGTACGTGGCACCAACACCTCCACCAGTCAGAAGTGTAGCATAAAGAGTATTGTTGCCTGACGTGTACGTGGTATATTCCGAAATGTATGATGAATCAGTTTCATCAACCACAACAGCATGGACGGGTCTACCCTGATTGCCAACCTCAATTGAGCCTTGTGGATATACTCTGACGCTGAAGAGATCACCACCTTCTCCCCTCTCATTGTCGTAGATATCATTTGCCTGAAGGGTCAACTGAGCTGATGTACCAGCTGTTGCCAGAGCAAGACCCTCGCCAGCTGCCCAGCAGCGAGGACCGTAGGCCACATTAGGGTACACAATGAGGGAGAAGGGGCTCTGCTTGATCTGCGATTCATAGTACAATTGGCTTGCAGGGATAATTTCTTTTGGTGTTGAGTGAGTTTGCCAACTGAGACGAATGTAAGCGTTTCCAGTGACTTCCTTGTACTCTAGTTTTATGTTGTAGAAGACATGCGGCTTCAAAGCGATGGTAGCTGATGTCTCGTTACAAGAAGAGTCCCATCGATCGATCATGAGCACGTTGTCCACCCACAGCTTTGCACCGTCATCACTTGAAATGAAAAACGTATGAGTTTCGGGAAACAATGGCTTCAGTTTTCCTTGCCAACGAATGCTGACGTAATCTTGGCCCATATCAGTGACAGGACCCTCTCCCCAATCCAGATTGATCGTGGGGTTGATTACAGTTTTGACAGGGGTGTAGAAAAACCACACATTCTCAAAGTATTGACCAGAAAGACCTCCGCTTCTTGCCAACTTCACAGATGCTTCGTAGTTTCCGCTCTTTGTCGGAGTGTAGGATACATCATACGTGCCATCTAATGAGTCAGTGACAGAGCCACTTATCGATCGTGTGCCTTAAAAATCAAAAGTTCATACTCAATCGAAGGAAAAAGCACAAAATACCTTCCAATTCGACGATGAATTCATCACCACCCGAGGTTCTTCGGACGCCAGATTCGTCCTTAGCTGTGATGGTAAACCCTGACACAATGCCTGCTGTAGCAGATAGAAGGCCGTTTCCTGTTGCAATACTCTTCGATGCATCGGTAGACTCAGCCGAAGCATAACTTGACAACACAATCACGATATAGACGACCAAAACTTTTGTTGAGGCGGCCAGAAGCCTCGATTTTGTTTGCATTTCTGCTTAATTCCCGGTTTGCTTAAAACATGAATTCCAAGAGACACAACCAGTATATACGAAACCAATCATGCAGCTGGACCTCTTTCACACTGTCAAGATGATAAAAGGTCAGTATCTCAATATCGCTTTCACTCACTCCATCCGCACTGACTCAGGTATTCCCTATTGCATGAACCTGATTTCAAAAATCTGCTAGGATGCAATCTCCTGGGAACTAAGGGTTCTAAGTCAACCTCTCTATATCAGCACATGTCTTCTTCATGATAGAGCATTATTGCTTTCAATCTCTCTCAACCTTTCTTTCCCTTCCTCTTCATCCCTCTTGTGACCGCAGCATTGCGCTACCCGAGGAGCGGATCAGACGTCAGTTGGATTGACCCTCCCGCCCACCCGTCCACCCACCATCTGAACATCAAACTAACCCACCCCCCTACCGAGTACACAAAACCAACTCATCGTAACCTATCACCCCAATTTTCCTTTACACTACCCCATGTATTTACACCCACCCCACCCCTGATTTACCAAATTCCCTGGACCCTACCATCCAATTATCTATCCTTCAACTGTCCAGTGGCCAGATGACCCCACCCATGAGTTTTTTGCAATACCCCTTCATTTACCTTTTCTAGTACCGGTGTATGAACCTATACGAGGACACCCCACCCCAACAAATTTCAAGTCACTTGTCAAGATAAAACGGAATTTATAAAGGTTTGAAATAGTTGAGTAAACGTAGCTGATACAAGAGTGAGTCATCAGACTACTTGAGTAAACTACAATCTTACATAAGTGAACGCAGTTCCTATATGAGTAAAATATGGGGTACATCGTACGTTCACGATCTCATATTCGTCTCCTTCAGACAATGGTGTGACTTGAACATTTGGATTTGCTAGTTGGTTTCATTGGAGGAATTCAGATCAAAGATATTCATTTACATGGCAACATATTTACAGGTGTGTTTGTTTCAAGGTCAGGATGCTAAGGTGACACCTGAAGTTGTGGTGTTCAGAACGAGCCATCGGAGTCATCGACTTGCTCCTCAGCGAAATTCAGGTTTGGTTCCCTTGCTTGTAAACCGGTTCCCTGAAATTTCAACTTGAGCACAGAGCGAAGAGATCATGATAGTCCTCACCTGTTGTCGGAGCCTGTAGATGGACCCATACTTCAAATGCAAGCCTCCCTCCTCCTCCTTTGTTTCGCCGACGATCGAACCACTCGACTCGTCACTCTCGAGCAGCATTGGACGCTCGACCTGCCGCACGTCAGAAGTCAAAGCGACAGTAATGACCACTACCTCAGGGGCGACGGTCGTGTTGGGAGATTTGATGGACTGAATCCGCATCACAGCCGGAACTGCATCCCCATGCACAGCGACTTGACAGAGATCAGCCTCGACCTCCATCCGATTAGGCAGCAAGTGCTTGGCAGGGTCTTGAAGCATCAAGTCTCGATCCTTGAGTTGCGCAATTTCTTTTTGCAAGCTCCGCACTTGCAAACTCGCCTGTCTTGCTCGCCTATGCAAGAGTCATGTCTCAACCATTAAGCATCCAAACAGGCTCTTACCATCCCAAAATCGCTAGGATAACAAGAGCAATAGATATCACAGGAACTCCCACAAGCAGGAACCACCATACGATCGGTGAGAACCTGGGCTTGGTGGGGATTTTCACGCAGGTCGCTACTGGTCGTAGCCCTGTTATGTTGCTGATGGGCTGATATTCTGAAAGAGATCGTCAAGCGTGGTCACGTCACGACTTGCAGCTTACTGGAGTCACAGACGCACTTGGAATCAGTCTCCATGCTCAAGGTACTCATCGAAGTCACAACACAATCTCCGTGATTGCTGCAATTGAGGTCTCGGCTGCATGCCACATGACAGACGGCCCCATAATATTTGGTTTCACAAATGCACTTGCGGTTGGTAACGACAGGATCGGTTGAGCATTTCCCATGACCACTACGTTGTCAAGTCAAGCACTGCTTTCTGATATAAAAGACTCTCTTACCTGCACAGCTTTGATCGACCACTGTTTGGTATGCCATCACAACCGGAGCAAGCTGAGTTGTCTCCTCCGCATACCCCGCATTCGTCGTTCACTGTCTTTCCCAACGTCTGCTTCCGGCAATCCGCAGGTACCTGGCAAACAAGTCAGCATGCGATTTAATCAGGAATGTATGGCAGACCTCGCTCACAGCAAAGATTCCAAGCTTTTTGCTGCGACATCTCACGAAGGCTCCAGTACCATTTGCATATCCAAAGTTGGTTTCAACGTGTTGGACATCACTCGTGCTCCACTTGCCAGTTGACACGTCAAATCTAACGCAAGAGGCAGTGCTTGAAACTCCGGTGAACGGATCCGACACTCCCGACGAGACTTCCGCATTCTTCTTTGGATCGAACGAGAGAACAAACTCTATAGGGGAGTCCGAGAGAACAGCATCCAGGTACTTACTTGTCTGATCAGGCCGAACATTGATAACGTAGACAGGTGACAGGATTTCACAGGAGTCAAATCCAAATTTCATCACATTTTTCCTCACCCTGTCTTGATACAGGTTTCCTGCGGTATCAGCCGGAAGGTATACCACTGAACTCGACCACAGAGATTGCAATTTTGAATTGATACACAACAGCTGTGTTTGGCTGATGTCGAAAGGGTTGTTCAGCACCATCGCTCTTTGAACTTGATAGATTCCAGTCATCTGAAGCGCCTTTGGAAACGTCACTTGCAATGCTGCGGTGATGTAGATACATGTTGCACAGCCGCTCCACAATCGGGAAAGAGTGTAGCTCATTCCTCCAAGACCTGCTGCGTCATGCACCGATGTTTCCATCAAGAAGTCGCTTGACGACATTTGAGCAGGAACTTGTCCAGGGGTAAACCCAATCACGCTTAATTCAGACAATAAATTCAAAGAGGTAATGATTTCCAGTCCTGCATTGTTTTGCAATTGAAGCAATTCTGTGGACGCTGATAGGGCAGACGGTAGCTGCATTACCGCTCTGATGCTGCTTTGTGAGACAGGCTCCAGCCCAGAAGTATCTCTCACTTGAGACAGCAATACACTTCTTGCCTGCAGAAACTGTGATGATATAAACAGAACATGATCCTCAAACTCGTTGCGTGAAACAATGCTTGTTCCTTCCCTTGACATTGTAATCAGGGTAGTCATGATTTGTCTTAAGGAGGCAGAACATGCGCTTATGGACAAAGTTGACAGTTCAGTGTTTGAACCAACAATAGCTGAAAGAGTTCCAACCAGTTGCAATGCTAATGTAGGTGGTAGAGGTTGACCATTCTGCACTGTACTGCTGAGCAAGGTTGAAAGTTGATCCCTGACACCTTTCTTGTAATCCAATCCTACTGCGTAGAATTCCCAATTGACGGTCTTATCATTCATGAAATCTGCCAAAGTGCCCGTGGACGAGGCAAACTTACCAACGATATCGCTTGCGTGATACTTTAATATCGTCGCAAGCTGCGATTCGATGGATCTCTTGGCGTTGTTTGGATCTGTCAACGACAACTCCACTGTGACTCCAGGGGACACAATCGATCTTTCCGTCGAAAATGCGGCTGATACATAAACCGTTTTAGTCCTGCATGTTGCACTCTGAGAGCAGGTTTGGCTGGGTTCTCCTCCAGACAAGATGGAAGTGACGGATGGGCTGTAAGAGCCTGCAGAGAGGTACTTCCTGACTCCATCGGACTCATAGTAGAAGCTGTACAATAGAGGGAGATCGTCTTGGTTGAAGCTCGTGTGCGTCATCCATGATTCTGTCGAGAACGAGAAACTTGTTTGAGCCGAAGTTCCAAACGTCGGCGAGACGTGAATCAGGCCGCCCCTGATCGCAGACATTGATTCAAATTGTGCCTAAAACCAAGAGCAGTTATCAACTTCGCAGGTCAGATCAGTCAAATCTTCACCTGAGCCCAGCCACAAGACATGCAATTTGCGACGTCGTCAAGATTGTTCAGAGCCGAAGACGTTTGTGAGTATATCAGAATTGTGTAACTGTAGTACCAAAGGTCATTTACACGCTACCTTCCACGTTCAAAATGTTTACCTGGTTGAGTCGAGGAGAAGACCGGACTTGAGGACCAGAGAACTGCTGTAAACACTTGACAGAATGTTGCTTGTCGTCAGCAAGTTTGAACCAGGCGGTGACAGCTGAACCCATCTATATTGTGTGTTTGCAGTTGCCTGACTCTTGAGGAGAATGTTGCTTGAGTTACTTACAGCGGCTGTCAGAGTTGCAAGCGATGTTTCAGGCACGTTTGCTGGTGAAGTTTTAAGCCATGTGCGGTAGATAGAAACGAATTCTTGGTTGCTCTGAGTACAATCTCGTTTAGGATCATCGCAAACAACGAGTTGGAATTCATAGAAAGCGCTGGGATCACAATGAACGGCAAAGGGGTCTTGCAAGTTGCAACCGAGTGTATATGTCGGCAACTGCAATGAAGTGAAAGCGCGAGATTGATCCAACATTTTAGCCTTGTCAAGCTGTAACACTGGCTCAAATTCAGAGTATCCATCGGCTATTATACGAGCGCAACTGATCGCTATTGGACCAGCCAATGCAGGACCCAACCGTGCGTTCTGGTAGCAGCTCCAGTGGAACAGAAGCTCGTTGCTACCTGCTGAACTGCGGGAGTTGGAAGCGTCAAGAAGATGCTTTCCAGCAACGTTCATGGAGATGAGCATGTTGCCTCCGATGATAGTGATCTTAGGAGGTGACCGAAGAGTCAGAACCTGAAACATTACAGAAGCCTGGAAATTGTAGGAGGTAACAGAGAAAGATAGATTGTAATTCGTCTTTGGCGACAATGCATTTGACGGCAATCTAAGCTGTAATGCATCGGTCTTGGGAGCGACCACATTCGGTGAAAACTTCCACGAGTAGCTCAAAGACGAAACGTTCTCACACTCACTGGTAGCCATAGACACCTCAAAGAGAACTTCCTTGTCAGAGTAAATGGAAATGACATCTTTCGTCAACACCCAGATGCTGGGCGTAGGAAAGTCGTGCTTGATGAAAGAAAATGTTGATTCTGACTTTCCTCCGATCCAATTTTGAAGGCTTAGCATCATCGTGTACGATCCAGAAGGAACATATTTGTCGATACAGACAGGATCTCCTGCGCACGATGGCAAGAGCTCACTGAAGTCGAGGAGCAGCGCAGAGGCTCCGGCAATCTTGCTGAAGAAGTCTGACGTTGGCGAAGCTTGATTCTGCAGCAACGGCACAAAGCTCTGCAACTTCCAAACGGGTTTCAAGGTTCTGCCGCCGCCATTGCCCGAGCCCCTCGCATCAAAATATATTCGACTGCAGGCTCCAGTGACCTGTCGAAAGAGTTATTGAAGGATCAGCAAGAGTACGAAGCATACCTTCGGATATTTCACTATCACATTGGGCTTCAACATGATTTCACTCAGATCGAAAAATCTTGCAACCACGCCACTTCCAGCGAGGGAGACAAGCAACAACTTGATATTGTTGTCTTGATCCACTCCTAAGAAGGAAAACTTCTTCGAGGCTTTCCAAGTTACTTCATCAATCAGGGAGAAATATCCTTGTCGAGTGTTCGCTTGGTTACACAAGACGCTTGAATTGTAAATTTTCGGTTGCACCCACTTGTAGACCCTCGATGTCGTTTCGAAACCTGCGAAGCCCCGCAAGTTCGCCACAGATAAGAAGTGCTGGTCGGTGCCGTCTTGAGTGGTAGTGAGGAAGTCGAACAGGTAAGCTCCAGCTGTTGGAATTGCCTGCGCTCCTGTGTCAGCATACGAGTGTGCAAGGAACAGAAGTACCTGAATGAAGGAGGCCGTCTTGAGTTGGTAGTCAATCTGATAGATGTAAGACTCTTGCTTGTATTGCTCCGAATGCTCGTTCCCTTCCATCCCCTCGAACTGGTTCGCAATCGCAACGTAATCCTTGTTGTTCATGGAGAAGGGAGTGAACGACTGAGGACCAACCGCTGGAAGCTCTATGAAGGATCGAAAGCACGAGATGTTGCGAAGAACATCACAGATAGTCTCTTGCCAGCGGTAGATCTTGACGTTCGATCGGTACTGCCCTTGCCGCTTGCGGTCAGCTATTCCAAGGTAGAGAGAAGGCTGCGAGGGGATGTGATAGAGCTTGCAGTAGCCTCCGTCTTCCGTCGGGATGTCCTGAATGAACTCTTCGAAGCGCCCGCCGACCCACATGATCATGCCGGAGTTGGGTGAGACCTGAACTTCTCGAAAAGATCCGAGCACCCAACGAAAGATGGACACGAAATTCTCTGCTCCCGTGTTAGTAAAAGCTAGATAGTGCTCTTCATTGTGCTCGGCATAGGAAGCGCTCGTGCAGCGCTTACAAGGCATGGTCTGTCGGAGCTCAAACTTTTGGTTCTCCCACACGAAGATGCTGATGAAACCATTTTGCATCATGTTGTTTCCCTTGTAGTTACAAATGGCCACAAACTGCTTGTACCGTATTCCACCATTCATGTCCTCATCTTTCTTGTAGAAGGGCTCGATATCAGTGGCTCCATACGTCTCGATGTGCTGATATGGCACGAAGTTGCCTTGCTGATCTGTTACGAACAACGTTGAATTCAAGGCGAAGACCGCAGATGTTGCAGCAACTCGAATATCGAAGGGACAATTCTGTCCTTTACAGTAGAGGGATACAAAGTAGTAGTTCCTACCATCAATCGTGATTCTTTCCACGTCAGTCACACTGATCTCGTTGTCGATCTCCAGTTGAGCTGTCAGTTGGAGGGCCATAGGTTTAGTGATCTGGTGGCAAGAAACTTGATTTGACTTGAGAGTCGTCACTGAGCTGATATTCCTGACAGGAACCACGTCACTGACTCCTGTGATCCGTTGCAGGTAGACCATTCCGTTCGCTTGCACAACAGGAAACCACAACAAGGAGCTCTGGCTCGAAGCCTCGTAGATAGAAACCAGATCTCCAGGCTTGACTGTTGGGTTCAACCCAAGCTCGATCTGCATTGTGCTCGGAGAGGTCCACGTGCACAATGGATCTATTCCAAGCACAGGCAGCATGGAAGCTGGCAAAACCAAGCGACAGCTAGTGCTTCCTCCCATGTTGGCCATGTTCGTCTCTGAATCAAAATTTACGATGAGTTCAGTGAGGTATTGAGAAAGCCTGAACCCGATGATCTTGGGGGCCTGCGGTAAAACATCGAATTGCTCAGTGCGATAGGTCATGCCTTGGTATTCAAATCTGAGTATGAAGTTTTTGCCGGGAAAACGAAGGTACAGACCTCCAAAGGTAGATTTTCCTGCAACAACTTGCGATGCTGTTTGCCCATCCAGGCATACAGAGCCATTCAAAGAAGTTTCTGAGGTGCAGAAATCCAGGCTTGAGATGTACGGGTTTTTGAACTGCTCTACTCTCACCGTCATCGATCCTGGATTACCACAGACTACCAAATTCCCATATACATCAACCAAACTGATTTCAGGTGGAATAACGAATCCTGCGTTTCTTGCTCCCTGCAAAAGAAGCATCAGATGGACCAGAAGCAATAGTGAGAATGTTCATACATACGCCGGTGATCCTGCAACGACGACATCAATCTTATTTCCTACAATGGCTGAAGGCGCATCTGGATAAACGTGGAACTTTGCTTCTGATACGCACGGGTTGCAGAAATCTCCGGTAGCTCTGCATTGCATTGTGTAGGCGTTGTGATCATTGCAGGAATTCGCCTCGCACCTGCAAGCCGTATGAATCAGTGCCAATGATGATGATCTACATTGAGACTTACTCAGAACATCCTTCAGAAGCTACGTTGCAGAGTAGATTCTCCCATATCACGATCCCACCAATTGTTTGCAGAGTTCCAGGTGAAGCAATACTCATATTTTCACTCGGACCACCAACTTGCACTTGAATGCCTTGGTATGGGTATGATTGCAAATCGCGATTGAAATAGCATCCTGAGCCAGATGCACTGGTAACTACAATCTCCACACTGTAAGCGTCTGTGTTCAAGACATTTCCATACTCGTCGTACATCTCGCAACTGACAAATTCCTGAAACCTCACTCCTGCTCTTTCAATGACCGGCTGCTGGCCAAAACGAATGCCACTAGGTCGCATCGGAATGTCTACAACAACCTTGACAAGCTTGAATGCGGCTTTTCTTAGCGCACAAACCGATGAAGCCTGGTCATACTCTGTCCCAAATTCTATGCAAAATTCTGTTGAGTTAAGACAAGCTTGCATGTCGAAGGAGAAAGAAGATTTGAAGTTGTAAGTTCCTGATCTTGAAATAACAATATTATCAAATTGTACGAGACCGTCAATTGAAATATTTGTCCCTGAGTGAACGGCGTCGGCATAATTCTCTCTAAAGATTTCGATTCTGATCATCACGCCGTTTGTCAATACTAGATTACCCCAGGCATCTTTCGTAGCAATGGTGAATCTATCTACCAGTCCAATAGTGGAAATAATTGCAGGCTGCCGGACGAAGTCCAAATCGACAAAGCGATTGGAGTTTACCTGAAAGCTGTGGTTGAATCAGAAAGCAATCACACAGCAAGAATCAGAGATTACCTTGGAGAAAGAGCTTGCAAACCAATTCCTTGACAGGAAAACAGCAAACGAAACCGAGCATTGCCAGATGAAGACTTGAGAGCTTGAATGCCCTCCAAGACTTGCTCGCCGCGGGTGACTAGGAAGCTAGTTGTACCACCGAGAGCTTGTCCTACAACTTCATTCTCATCCGTGAAAACCGATACTTGGATCACTGCGTTAGTGATCGGAACCTTTGTTCCTACTGAGTTTAGCAACCTTGCTTGTACAGCATTGAAATTTTGCCCCGCAACATAAATGTCGTGGAAGTCCGAGCGGATCATCATTCGTGTAGCCGGAGGAAGGACCACGAAGATTTGAGAGTCAACAAACAACCTGGTTGTTCCAACCATCATCGAAAACTCCAGCATCAGACCTGAGATCGAGGGCCCGTCCACTCGAAGATCAGTGAACACAACTACTCCGTCACGCGCAGCCTGCGTCCGCATGCCTAGCAGTCTGACAGTAGCGTTGGGATCCTTGAGAGAAGCTGTGACCAACATGACGGAACCCTTCACCAACATGTTGGAGCTGTCGAGTACGTAAATCATCGGCTGGTGCTCGAACGGCTGCTCTGCACAAGAGTCACTCGGCTGCTGGAAAATTTGCATCACAGCAGCACGGGGGACGACTGAGAAAGGGCCGGACATTCCGGTAGGCCGCCCAACGTCTTGGATAGAGCTGTCAATCGAGTAGGCGACGAAATTCAGCTTGTAGTAACCGACATCGCTGGCTGTGCTGAGGTCAGAGTACTCAACGAAGCCATCAACCGCAGTCAGCGCTCGAGTGCCGCTGAGAGACACGCAGGTCTCGCAGCGGTACTGATCGACGTTGGTGGGATCGAAGGATCGGACGCAGACCGAGGGGAGGAGCGCTGAGCAGGACTTGGAGTACCAGCTGCTTCCTTCCATTGACGCGCAATTGAGAGACACGTGCGGTTCTGACGCAGCCCAGCGGTCGATCAGGAGCCGAACATTGTCGATCCATTTCCATGCGCGTAAATCAGCATCGTACTGGAGCCCGATCCAAACCTCGTTGTTCCCAGCAATCAGCGATACGATGTCCTGCTCTGTGGAGGATGAAAGTTTTGCCAGAGTTCCACCCCAGGCCACACACTTGCTCTCAGCCACAGCCCAGGTGGTTCGGCTGGAATCGTAGCGATAACACTTTCCGCTGATAATGGAGCCATCACACCAATCTCCGCAGGTGTTGCAGTTGCCGTCAACGCAAGATGTTTCACTCGAAATTTCTACTTCAACCACATAGGCATTCTTCGAGGGCGAGCTGACAGTGTTTCCATAGTAGTCCACGAGCTTGACCACCGGCTGAGTCTGGAAGGCTACACCTTGTACCACACCGGCCGGCTGCTGGGCTACGAGAAGGCTGTTCAAAGGCCCGTTAGTCACGAAGAAGCTTCTTGTCATGGTGAAGATATCACCCGCAGAGATCATAATACTCAAAGGCTGTTTGTCCAAGGGACACGGAACATCCGAGAATTCACAAGGCATGTTGCTAGAGATTTGAATCCTCAAGTTGGAAAAGTACCCGACGCCGTCGAGGGACGTGTTTGCCGTGACCCCGAACAGACCGGCCGATGCTGGACAGGCCTCGGCTACTAGAAGGAGGTCTTGAGCCCGAGAGATGATCCGATTCCCGCAGCCATCCAGCAGTTTGACACTCACCACAGGCGCTACAACTTGTCCAGCGACAATACCATACACTGAGGGCTGGCTGACCGCCTCAAGACGCTTTAGCGAGCCAGGTGTCACATCGAAGAACATCTCAAGATATCTCGTGTGGTCGATGAAAATCGACAATGAATAATTCTTGAGGGCCTTGCTGATGGATATGCAACCGAAGTCTGCCAATCCCCTGACAGCATTAGCTTGAACCGAACCGCTAAAGCAGCCGCAGCCCAATTGAGAGTCGAGGGAGGTGGAATCACAAGGGAGCTCGAAACTCGGATAGTCCAGCATCAGACTCAGAGTCGGGCTCGAGCGCAGCTGAGTGGCTGGCTTCAGCCCGAGATTCAAGTAACTGGTTGAGTTGTCGGGGCACAGGCCGAAGTCGCAGTCAAGTCGATTTCCGTACAAGTCGACAAGCTCGAGGACGAGAGGGTCGTTGACGTCACTGGCTCTCCAGACGCCCGGAGCCTGATTGACATTGACTGCGTACAACTGATTAGCTGAGATACGGATGATAGGCCTTGATAGAGCAGAATATGTCTTAGGATCCCCCGGCGTACTTGTAGAGATCAAAAGTTCAAAGATTCCAGCTTGTTCTATTCTGAGATCGGCAAAGGTGGCATTTCCATAAGCTGCGTATATGACAGTAGTCCCCTTGAGCGCAGGCTCAATCTTATTCCAGGCGGGAATGTGCAAACTATGTATGTTTGCCTTGAACGATCTGGTCGTGTAATTCACCATGTTGCAGACGTCGGTGGATACGCAAGCATATGCTTTGATCATGATAGGGGGGATTATGTTTCCTGCGTATTGATTGAAACGATAATTCTCCACGTCAATCCTGTTGACTGGAGGTGTCAGTAGGATTGTATTGGCGACCTGAATTTGATTTCCATTTCCAAGAATGATGGTGAAGTACAGCGTCTCACTTGTCAAAGAAGCACTCTCTTGGCACCCCATATTTGTCAGTCCGATGTCTGGAAAGTCCACTGTGCCATTGTTTACCATCAGGCTAGTTGACCCGAAGAGCTTCACACAAGAAGAACTCGCTGTGGAGCTGGAGATACTCAGTCTGCTTCGAGTTGCCAAGTTCTGACTTTGGTCAAACACAAAGATGCGCGGAAAGTAAAAGAGTTCCTCATTCAGAATGAATCGAAAATCTTGTTCGCTGAACTGTGCCGCTGTATAACAGCCACACCACACGTTGAAACGTGAGCACCTGTCTTTGGGTACGCACCAGGAGACTGAAAAGGACGACACAGCAGGGTAGATTGTTGTTGATATAGCTGTCGTGAGGATACTCAAACTCGTCGGAGGCGATACAGAGATTTGAGGTTGCTGGGAAGTCGCAGAATCGAAGACAGCGGAACAAGCCAAGAAGTTCAAAATTCCTGCTTGAGCTGTAGTTTTACATTCTTGCTGGGCGGTGCCAGTGCCGTCTTTCAGGAGAATGAAACCTTGCCCAGATAGCATAGAAATTGAAAAGACAGACCCAATGATCGATGTGACAACATTCTTGAACCTGTCAAGAATAGCGAAACGAAGAGGAATCGGCTCATACGCTATGATCTCATAGGCGAAATCGATGGTGACAAGCGATGCAGGGTCAGCTGCAGTGACAACAATGCCCGGAGTCATAGCTTCGAGGCCGAAGTCAACTTTGACCAGAAACCGATAGTTCCCAGCAAACCTGACTGAGAAGCTGTCAAACAAAGCACGAGAAGTGGAGGAGTCAAAAGATGCAACGGTAGTGCCGGTCAGGATCTGAGCTGAAGTTGGTTGAACTCCAAAATAATCCGTCGACACTGCCATTGTATCGACACTCAACATCGCGGAGGCGTTCGATCCTTTGAGCGATGGATTTCCAAACTCATCAAACGATGCGATGATGAACTGAATGATGGAGCCAGTCGTCTGGATATCCGAGGCTTGGATGGACACAACGCTTGCAGTGACTTGAAGCTTGAATGGAGGAGCCGCAATGACAACGAAGGGACTTGATGTGGTGGAGATGTCGCTGTTGTCACTCGCTGTGAACTTCAGGTAAAGCAGGTCACCATTCGTGTATTCCAAAATCTGCAAACCTGAAAAAGTGCATACACCCTGGAGTGAGGCGGATTGTCTTGGCCCAAGAAGCTTCGTCAGAGGGTTTGAAACTTGAAGAACTACCGTGACGCCATCCTTCCTCATCGTCTGCCCTTGACGATCTTTCAACAGCACGACAACATCAAACAGTTGCCCTGCTTGTATCGTGGACGGAAGACTTCCAGAGATTGTGAGGTGATGTAAAGGTTGGTTGACATAAAACAAAGGAGTTGCTACCCAAGCACAAGGTCCCTTGTTGGGCTTTGAAAGACCAGTATCAAGACCCGTTACGGGGTCAGCACAGAAGCAGAGTCGTGGATCAGAGGCGCAGCAACCTGTGGTAAAATTCAGCTGAGCTGTTCCCGCTGTCAGACCTCCCACAATCATATCGCTGAGTTCCACCATCCCAAGTTGTGCCTTAGCAAATCTCTTGCTCAGAACAAGTGATGGGTCGAGGGCTGAGACGTTGCCAGAAGGAGTAGCTTTCAACATTCGCAGGGAATCTGAGATGATAGAGACGGTGACTGTGTCGCAGAAGTCATTCACAAAGATTGTGTTGCTGTATGCGTCTGATAGCCGTACTATGGGCTGCTTCAAGAGCGGGAGATTGATGATCGAGTTATCATCAGGAGACTGGATCAGGTTCAGACCTCTGACTATGTTTGATCTGACAGTCACTTCATCTTTGAAGTACAAGATTTGTGCCAAGTAGGTTCCTCTGAATGCAAGCTGATAGTCTCCCGGAGTTTTGACATACAGGTCTGTGAAAGTTGCAATACCTGTGTTCGTGCTCTTGGTTGTGCCTCCAAAGAGATTCTCGACTGTTTCCGACTGGGAAGTGTGTGTAGAGATCCAATACCTGCCTCCATCTCTGTTTAGACACGTATTGTTCTGATTGATGACTCCGCAGTTCTGAGTAGTCACGAAGTCTATCGAACAGGTCTGATAGGAGTAGAAGAGTCCGGGCACCACAGTGTCTGGAACAGCGCCAGGGCAAGAGGCGTCCACATAGCACCAAGGCTGGCAGCACAACCAGCCTGACGAGCAAGTCTGATGAGCAATGCCGCACTGTGAACCATAACCATCCCACACTGCACAATATCTGCAATCAAAGTTTTGTTCAGTCATATAGGTACGTTTAAAAGGTATGATGTCACCTTCCATAATCGAAGTTTTCCAGTGAGGAAGAGACGGCGTAATTAGTGTTGATACCCTTGCACGCGCAAGACGGATTCAATGCAAATCCTGCTCGGTTAGCTTCCGGCTTTCGATACAGAATAGCTTGAATCTGGAATGACGTCAACATGGAACGGATGCTACTGTTTTATTTCATACCTCCACAGGATATCCATTGGCCAAATTCCTGTAAGCATCGAGTATTCGAACATCGCAGAGCGATCCGCTGCAAAAGAAAGTTCCGGCTTCGAAAGGAGAAGTGGATGATGGCGAGGTGGGGAGAAAGAGGTACTTCGGCGAGCATGGGATGACCTGTGCAGGAACGGCATTCAAAACTTAGCAAGCACCTATGATTGATGTGACATCACCTGAAATGATATTGAAGACGATTGAAGGTCGTTCATACCCAGCATCGAGAACACTAATTTCATCTTGCTGTATGCTTTCGTGGTCCTCATATTCCGGAAGTTGGCGAAGCCTCGAGCTTGATTCATCGGCATGCTGTTGTCGAAGATCGCAGGGGACGAGCTAGAGAAGAAAGACATCAATACTTCTGATTTCCACCACAAAACACCTTCACCTTGTGCATATCCAAGCTTCTTTTATCTGGGGTTTGCTTGCGTTGCAGGAAGGCTCCACTATTACCCCTCCCGGCAAAATCTGCTGAGAGTCTGTGCAAGGACAAGTGCATGCAGCACAAAGAGTCGCTTTAAATGTGACAGGAGAAACAATCTTGTTGTGATATCTGTGGGAGAAAGCAATCATTTGACCTCAAATCGTGCACGTAGCATCACCCGTCTAGGACACGAAGTTGAGGCTGCACAGTGAGCGATGAGCCTGCGATGTTCCCTCCCGGCGGTTGCAACATGATCTCGATCGACGTAGGAGGACCAGGAAGAAGCTCGACGGCCGGGCAGTCTTGATACACAACCTTCCCGTCAAAGGGGGATGACACTTCCAGGCGGAGGGTTAGCTTCGGCATTGAGACTGTCGGCAGTCGCAGGTTTGTGATAGCAGCCTGTTAGAGCAAGAAAGAGCTCAACGAACAACGATCTAGCAAAACTCAAGTACCATCCCATCCGAGAAACGAGAGCCCATCGACGATAGCTTTATGCAGGAGAAGTTTGCGGACGTGCAGAGGATCGGACTGTAAAGTGCATCAAGTCAAATCGGATCAGAGAAAAATAGAGGTCATTCACCCCATATCGTATCCTCCTCCAATCCCATACGCCTGTACCGAAGTCGCATTGACATAGCAGAACCCTTCAGAAGAACAAATTCCTGGAAGACTATCATCAGCGACATGTTTCAGTCTTCAACCGGAGGCACCGTTTGTGGTGGAATCCATGCTTCGGTTATCCGATGAAAACACTCGCAACACCTTGAGACTATCTACAAGCTCGTGCACATTCAACACAGCTCCCTCAGCCGGACATCCTCCAACCACCTGACAGTTGAAAGTGAGAATTGTTGCCAAGACCATCTCCTCTACCATTTACCATTCCGCCATAGGATGTCTCCAATACAGAGAACTCGCTGCTCTCCCCCATGAGATTCAGGTTTGCTATCGTTGCTTCCGCCGAAAAGTAGAACCCATACCCAGATTTCGATATCGTGAGATTCCTGAATTCTCCCTTCCCATAGTTAGTCACGTTCGTCAGCTGCCCTTCCAGCAAGCCTTGCTGTAAAGTCGCTACACAGGCTGTTTGACCTGAACACTTCTGATACAGAGACAACTTGATTGAGACTCTTGCGGCAGTTGCACACCCAGGAACGCTTTGCTGTATGAACTTTGAGTCACTTTCATTGAGACCCTGACAAGAGACAAGGTTGTTTGAGGCGTCACGAATAGTGACTGCGATGCTTGATTGCAAGGCCAAGTTGAATCCAACGGTTCCGTTGAGTCGGATGGGGTCAAAGACCAGCTTGGCAGGCTTGCCATGCACGATAGTGATGTGTTGAAATGAAAACACATCCTGCCTGATGGACACGGTGACTCTGAATACTCCAACATAGGCAGCCTTTACTCCAGAGAAATACAGATTTCCAGCATCAGCGTGATCATAACCTGATACACTCATGTTGGTGGCTATGGTGAAGTTGACATTTGGATCCTTGTGTTCAACCAGCAAAAGGTGAGCTTCAACAGATTCGCTCGAAAGAGGAAATCCATTTTCATCCAACAGCATAAAACTGATGCTGAAAGCGTCGTTTGCCATGATAATGTCCTTGGCTGCCAAGACATTCTTCAAGTTGATCTGATTACCATTGACGACTCTGAATGCAGAAGACAGCAGTCCTTGGCAGTTTGCTGGATTCTGGTTGCAAGCTGCTACATTTGGAATTGTAGTTTCGTTGCAAGCTGAGAAGAGAAATCGCAAATCCCCTCCCAGGCTGCCGTCCAGACGGAACCCGTTCATAGTCAGAAAACTCCCAGAGATCTCGTACCTTGCGTACTGACCGTCTGGATTGATGAAGACTGCTGCATCATCGCCGGCCGGTCGCAGTCGAACTTGCGAAACGGCACCCAGGAACTTTCCCTGGATCATTGACATGCAGATAAAGAGACGATTGTTCCCAGTGAGGTCGTCGATGCGGAGAAGCGGCCAGGGATTCATGGTTGCGTTGAAAGATGTGTCTGAGGGGTTCAGTGCGATCTCGATTCTTCCGAAGGACGTAACGAGCTGTTGCACCAGTTTCGGGAGGATGGGGATATAAGGCACCAGGATGTAGCCATGGTTCTGAAGAAAGATGTCGCCAGTAGAGTTTAAAAGGGAGACTTTGAAGGTGACATTCTTGTTTGCTGTAGCGTTGACAATGAGCTCTGAGAAGTTCGCAATTCCATTTCGGACAAGAACAGCATTGTTGTCGACAAAGACCTCAGCACAGTCTTGTACACAATCGATCTTGATTGCAACTGACATATCCTTTGTGAATAGGTTGCTGTACACGTCATACACCTTCACAACAGGAAACAAAGAAAGCCTTTCAGAAGATACTATGCTGCTTGGAAATTGAACAATCTCAATACGGTACGGGTTTGCGCTTGAAATTTTAAATTTCGGACTCATCAAGATCTCTGGTTTCTCATAATCATATCCAACGGTCCCAGGAACTACAACTTGACAAACAGCACTTTCAGCGATTGCATAGAAACGAAGATTGAGAAAGGCTGCAGAGCCGTTGATTGAGAGCGTGGAGTTGACTCCTTGGAAAGGAAGAACGATGTTGTGAGAAATCCCACTGTAACAGTCGAGCTTTACCAAGTACGAGGCAGAGAAGTTATGGAGAATAGAAGTCTTGATAGACTCAAAAGTGGCGTCTACCAGATTGACTTGAAGATCAAAACTTGTACCAGCCTCGATGATGCTGGGAAAAGGTGTCACAAATACCGGATGGAGCGCTTGGAGGCTCTGAACAGAGAAAGTCCCACTCGTGCTCTTTAGTTGATACCCAACGAGTGAAAGCTGAAGCGTGAGATTCACGAGCACCGAGGGGATCGAGAAGTTTTTGATCTCAGCAGAACCGTTGGAGATGAAAGAGGTGTATGCTGCAAGGGGAAGAAGAGCTTTACTGCCTTGCATCACTACTGTCTGTACTGGAACTGGCCAGGTGTCGACAAACTGCATGTCATCTGAACCCATCGAAGGGCCGTATCGCAGTCCCACGCGCAACGGGGGTTCAGCGACAAGACCGACAGCTATGCGATTCAAACCATTCAAAACAACCAGTTCTTGAAGGTTGTACACCTTGAACGTGTCCGTCAGTATCGAGACTGCACCAGATCGGAAAATGAGTTGGTAGGATTGGACTGATACGTTCACGTTCGGAGGACGCATCACTCTCAATGAAGTGAACTTGACAACTCCATACTCGTCACTTTGAACAGATGCTGTTGCCTCGCAATCATCTTCTGTGCAATGTAGAAGAGTTGCATTGACTTGTTCTGGGGTAGTGAGTCTGTTTCCGTACACATCACTGAGAGCAAGCATCGGTTGCACATACAAATATTCTCCGTACGCGTTCATAGAGCTGACGTTGCGCAGGAGAGCAAAGGAATGTAACTCACCAGGAGTCACAGAGATTGTCGGGCTGACGACTGAGAGGTTGACAGAGGAGACTGAGCTAACAGCATATCCCTTCACCTGCATGGTCATGAGCGAGGGGACGCAGATGCTGACTGTTGGAATCTGAAGGGAAACAGTGAAGACTCCTTGCGAGAACAAGGCTGGCGAGCAGCCGATGTCTTGAACCTCAAACGCAGAGGTTTGATTGCAGCTAAGATGCCTTTGCAAGCAAAGTGTGAAACTCTCATTGAAACCTACTGCCTTGTTCATTTGTCTGTCGAAGATTGTGATCTCCATCGAGGTCAATTTTCCGTTCACGATCTGAGTCTGAGCCGTTGACTTAGTCTGGAATGGGATGTTTGGGGATACAGAGAAGTTAGAACTTGATAGGCTGAGGTTTGTTGAGCAGTCCAAGCCTGGAGCCATAGGCTTCGTGGTTTTCAGCGTCTCGCATGACATTCCTGCTGTGTTGGTCGAGAAGTTTCCAAATAGCTTTTGACAATCAGGATCATAATATTCAAAGAGCACAACCAGTGAATCATCCAGGACCGATTGAGTCACTTGCAATTTGACCTCGAACTGACTTGTGATCGACGAAGCGTTAGTCCACTGAATGCACTGCGAGCAGCCAGACAAGTCGAAGTGAACAGCCGATGTAGATAGAAGGGTCGCGTGCACCCAGCCCCGCGTGATGAGATTTCCGAAGACATCTTCCACTTGCAATCTGTATGAGAAGGGAAGGCCAGCAACATGCTGCGAGGGGACAAGTACGAAAGAGACGAGAGAGGCAAAGGCAGGTATGACTTCGAATGAGTTGGACAGCGCCGTCCCGATCGTCTCTCCGGTCCAGAAGGAAAGCGTCACTGATAATTTTACACTCGATTGCGCCTTGGTCAGGACCGTTGGCCCCAACTCCAGCTGCCCAGCGCTAGGTAGGGAAACACTTGAACACGTCTGAGAGAGATTCTGACTGCAGCTCCAGGCAAAGTGAGCGCATACGAGGCAGCCCTGAATGTCGACCGGCTTGCCAACGTTCCACTTCAGCGGGATGTTGTATTCCTTGACGATGTTGCCGTACTTGTCTCTGACTGTCACGAACGGGTTGAGTGGCATGGCAATGCCTGCAATGGCAGTTGGGACAGGGACGGTGAACGAGAGCGACTTGAGCTCTAAGAGGTTCAGGACGCTGAAGAGCTCGGTCTTGACCGAGGAAGCCTCCTTGGTCAACAAGAGCTGGTACCCTTCCTCCGACGCGCCTTGACAGTCAAGTGGGCTGCAGCTCATGGTGATCGATACAAGGAAATTGACCCGGCCGTTGGCGTCGATCTGCCCGAGAGTCTTTCCCACCAGCTGAGCCCCAGCAGGGCCTCTTGCGATGGTAAGTTGCACCTGGCCGGCTGTCAACAGGTTCCCATACTTGTCAAAAATGTCCGCAGAGACAGAGAAGTTGGAGCCTGCTAGGGTTCCATTGACGGGCGACTCGGCGACCTGGAAGGAGCAGCTCCCTGGGCTGTTGCACAAGCTGCTGTCTGCGGGAAGGACTGTGAATGAGCTGGTGAAAACCTTGAAGCTTGGGATGTTGATTGCATCCAATCTCAGCGTGAAAACTCCGGTCTTTGTGATGATGACGTTGCCGAAACTGACCCACCTGGTGTTCGAAACAACAGTGTTCAAGCCCGTCAGGTACTGGTCGTACGTACAGACCCCGTTCTGACACAGATGGATCTGGAATGCGACGGGGGAGAAAAAAATGGAGGGTACCGAGTGAAGGTAAACAGTTATGGTGGAGAGAGGCTTTCCAGCAAGAATGCTCCCTTGCTGGTTCCATAGAGCTGTAGTCGGCAGCAACGTGCTGACCGCAAAGCTGTCAGAGCTCCCAAGGATGAGGCAGGAGGAGTAGATCTGATAGCAGAACTCAATGACGACCGCAGAATCCTCCCTGTCAATGTACAACCCAGTGATGGTCGCCTTGCCTCGGGCGATATCTACTGAGCTTGCGTTCTTCAAGGCTGTCTCTGGGTTGGTCGATGACTTCAACGACGACTTGACGATGCCTCCGGCCTGGTACGCGACGTTCCCGAACTCGTCGTAGAGGGTCACAATGAGGGCTGGCAGGTAGGCGTACGCAAGGGCACCTTGCACTGTGGAAGGGAAGACGAGTAACGTGGACGGGTCAGTCGGGAGGATGACGAAGGGGTCGGAGCAGACGACCAGGGGCAGGGGGAAATCGCCAGTCCTCCCTCCTGCAAGATTTTGGAATCGAAGCTTCCACGCTCCCTGTACTTGTCCGCAGTTGTAGTCTGCAACGGAGATGACGTTAAAGGCGGAAGGGTCAAGGGCTACTTGGACACGCAGGTTACTGAAGGAGACTTCTCCTCCCTTCACCTCGGCAGTGACGGTTCCTTTCAGTTGCCCTCCTCCCTCAAGGCTCGCCTGAACAACCACCCCGTCGAAGTTCTCAGAGACCTTGTTTCCATAGAAGTCCGTTAGCATCAGCCGATGAGTAGGAAGTGCTTGTCCAGCGAGCGTACAAGGAGCGGGAGCAGCTGGGCAGGGCATCGAGGGGATGAACTTGAACGACATAGCCCGGCCCGCAAAGACGGTGAACAGGTTGGAAACGAGCTCAACGTGCAGAGCCTGGTAATGATACTGTGAGACAGAGAAGTTGAGAGTGTAGTTGTATCCAGCAGACGCCACGAAGAGATCCGTGTAGTAGAACTTGCCATCTGCATCAGCAGCTATGTTCTGGTTGCCCATGAGCTCAGCCTGACAATCTGATTGTGATGAACAAACTTGGCCATTCCTCATAAGCACGATCGCTATCTCAACATCCGTGACAAAGTTCTGATACACATCCACTACCCCCACCACAGGCTGAGTGGGAAATGCTGTGGCCGCCGATGGGTCAAGTCTGTACGAGGAGAGGTGTGCGTAAGAGGACATGGCGACAGGGCTGCCCGGTAGGATGACAAAGTCATCAGATACTCTCATGCCTAGGGTGGTGGTAAACACCAAGAATGTAAGCCCTTGAGCTACAGTCTTGACTTGCAAGTCAGTGAAGGTCGCGACACCTGAAGAAGAGGCCTTTGTGGTAGTTCCCGTCAAGATCGGAGATGAGTCCTCCACTAGCCGAGGCCCGATGACCCGGGCTTCTGCTACGAGCGAGTACGAGCGGGAGGTGGAACTCTGAACTTGGTTCCCATAGCGATCGACCTCCGTCACTTGCAAGGCTGGAAGGCTCCCCACTGAAAGCTGATTGGCAGAGGAGGACTGCACCGCAAGTTTGAAGGAAACCGCTGGACCAGAGGCGATGACAAGCGCGTTTGAGGACAACACAGAGTCACCCGACTTGACCTTGAGACGGTAGGATCCGCTAGCAAAGATTTCCAACGGCAAGGCCGCGACCTGTCCGTTGTCAATCTCCCCGTGCGTTGGGCCATGCCAAAAGTAGTCTGCAGGGTCAACTTCGGCCTCCACGTTGTTCGACACCCTTACCAGCCTCCACTCAGCCGGGCGGTAGATGGCAAACTGTGAACCAGGACCAGCAGCTCGATCAAAGAGAACGGCAGCCGTCCTCGACTTCCCACTGTACGACACGATCGTCGCCTTTTGATTCGCTCCTGACCCCGACAGGATCTTGATAGTCATGTTGACGTAGAACCCATCTTCCGAGCTGGCAGCCTGCGGCAGAACGACGTACTCCTTCCCTCCACTCACAGCACTGCCTGCCGCCACCACCGTCACACTAGAGGCTCTCGAGTCTTTGACGTTACACACGATCCCCGACAGGATCGCTCCGGCAGCAGAGGACGTGCTGGGAATGCCCGTGAAGGAGCTTCGCACAGCATCTGGCGGACCGGCGATCACTGAGAACGGGCTGCTTGTCACAGACACTTGGCCGATGGACAAGGTCAAGAAAGACTGAGAGGATAGAGTGAGGAAGCGGAAGCCTAAGAAGCTTGCCCTCCCTCCTGAGGTCGTGAGGGAGCAGGTCAAGTCCTGGCAGGATTGGAGGGAGTTGGTCCAGGTCAGTGACGACTTGGCTGAGATAGAAAACGTTCCGTCCACAAGGTTGTTGTAAGCATCGTACAGTGCCAGGAGTACTGGAGTCGGGGAGGGCTGGTCGACCATAAAGACTGTAGCTGGCTGTTGCAGGATGGTGATGTGATCGTAGGAGGCAGCGGTAACGACGAACGGGCCAATCTGCCTCGTGACCGCGAGGTACTGGATGAAAAGACTCATGTTGGTTGAGGTCCTAGTGACTTTCACGTCTGTTCGCGAGGCGACTCCTTGAGTGAAGAAAGCCTTGTACTCGTCCTGAGTGTACAACCCGTCGCTGAACCTCAATGAGAGCGGAGAGCCGACGTGGAGAGTGGAGGAGGAGGAGTCACTGAGCCCAACTGTGACAGTCAGACTCTGTCCGGCTACCACTGACGACGGCGGAGAACTAGGAGCCTCAACGATGAGGAGGTAATCGGAGATGATCGAATAAACCTTGGACAGCTTCTGCATCCCATCGACGGCGAAGACAACTTGAAAGTAAGGGAACGGGCCGTCTGGTGGCAGGATGGCTGTTACATTCCTGAAGCGAGCTTCGCCTTGCGGGCCCGCCGTAGAGACTGAGAACCAGCACCCTTCGTATGTCTGGTTGTAGAGGTCGACGATCGAGGCATTCACCGTCACGTCAGGAACTCCGTTGTCAAACCTGTCTGCCACTCGGATGACAGGCTGTACAGGAAGCGGAGGGAAAGAGAAGTTGAACGGGAGGGGGCAAGGGAAGTTCTCTTGGCAACCATGAAGCGCTATTTGATCACTCGGCTCTTGCAGAATGATCAAGGCATTGGGAGGCCCAGCCCTGACCTGGAAGAGGGAGGATGGGCCCGAGAGGGACAGAGGGTGGGCTGAGATCACCAAGAAGACAAGTCGAGCTGAGAACATGCCTGTGGTGTTGAGGTGATGGAGAGAGGAGTGAAGGTTGACTTGAGAACCATTCAGCGCGATCTCCTCCTTCACGATCGTCTGACCCCCCTGCACTCCCGTGGAGATGACAACGCTCCTGAGCAAGAGGGAGGGAGGAGAGGGACCGATTTTGAAGGTTTCGATGAGAGGAAGGAGCTGTAGAGGTCCTGATAGGTTAAGATAAGAATCACCTGCAGTGCTGGATCGAACAGGGAGTGACAGCAAGGTCTCGAGGTCGAGAACTGAGATAGAACCGGAGGAGTTCTGAACTGAGCGATCAGCCAGGGTGTCAATCACCGTGATGTTGATCGTAGTCTGGCCGGAGGTGGTAAAGGTGAAGTTGCGGAGCTGCAAAAAGCCGTTCTGGTCGACATCAAGCCTCCGGTAGTAGAAGTTGAGAGCAGCTTTCACAGTCAAGTTGAAACCTGAGGAAGTGAACGGGTTGTTGTACGAGTCGAGCAGCTGCAGAAGGGGGTCAGGCTGTAGTGGTTGGTCCTGAAGGGCATAGGAAGAATACGAAATGATCTGAACAGAGTGCAAGGGGGCATGAGTGACTGTGAAGGTGACGGAGACAGGTTGTATGTTTGAGCCAAGGAGGGAGAAACTGGTCACGTAAGATCCTGATGAAGATGGGGAAGGAATTGAAATCCTCCTCCTGCCATCTTGAAGGTCTGTGCTGCTGATTTGTGACTGATCTGCGACGATGCTCATTTTGACTACTTGATTGGAGGGGAAGGGAACCACACGGTTGCCGTATACGTCTGTAAGAAGCACGTAGAAGCTGAGGACTGAGTTTGCCTGTGCCGGATGATCTGACACTGGGCTGACAGTCATCTTGAAAGGAGGGTCAGTCAAGACAGTCAAGGACGTTGTCACTTGTAGCTGTTTGTACTTTGACACTAACTTGGCTGTCAAAGAATAAACTCCCGAAGCGCGTGGCGCAAGAATGCATGGGAAGGCGAAGACACTTTTCACCAACGAGCTCCCGGCGCAATCAGCAGAGCAGTCGCAAGCCAAGTCGTCCAGAGTCACGTTGACTTGTAAGGACGTGGAATTGACAACGATCCCGTCATCGTCTATCATCCTGACCGACACGTTTCCTCCTTGCACTCGGCTTCTCACAAGAGTCTGCACAGGCGGGGACACAAACTGCAGCGACTGTATCCCTCGGAAAGGAAATGTGTTGGACTCGATCGCCCCCCCTTCAAACGTCGCAACAATCGCGCAACTGTACGAGGACGAAGGTGAGGATGATGATGAGGAGGACTTGACCAACACGACCTCTTCGAACTTAACGATCCCCTCGACTGAGAAGGCCTTGGTATCTCCCATGATTGACAGACCTGGACAGTATATAACTGACAGGCCGACCTCGACTGGGCTCGTGACAAGGTTCCCAAACTTGTCAAGAACCTCAAGGAGGAGGCCCTGGTGGACCCTGCAAGGCTCACAACCGGCTCTCCCACTCTCTGTCGCGATACTCTCGCTCTCCAGCGCTGCTGTCGGCTGGCGGAGGAAGGAGCCGTTGACAGCCGCAGCGCTGGTGACCTCGAAGGGCTGAGACCGTCGCTCGTAGGTCACGAGCCCGTTGACAAGGTAGCGCACGACGAGCTGCTGCTCCCCTACACGCGATGCCGAGACGTTGGGAAAGACGGCGAGACTTCCCTGCAGCAGCGGGTAGTTGTTGAGAAGAGTATCGCAGAGGTTGGCAAGGCTGCAGATGGAGAGCTGGACAGACACGCCGGCAACACCATGGTTGCAGATCAGGTTCCCGTAATCGTCCGCCAGCTGGGCACTTGGTGGGTCCCAGAAATTCACGCCGGCGATGGGCTGGTAGGACGTGAAGAAGAAAAGGATGTTGGAGACGTCTCGAGGCCTCAGTGCGGCCCTCGCCGACCCTGAAACGCTTGAGGACCCGCCGGGATGCACGAGGGTGGCAGAGAAGAACAAGGAGACGGTAACGCTACAGTTGGACGAGCGGACCTTGAGGGCAGGCTGGAACTGAAACAGTCGGAGACCCTGGACGACAAAGTTCTGGTCGATGCCTGAGATGTTGTAGGGACCGTAGACGAGTTGACCCTCGAGAAAAGCCTCGAGGTTGATGAGCTGAACTTGCATGCTTGAAGTTCTCAGCTGATTGCCAAACACATCTTGAAAGGCCAACGTCACCGGCGGGCTCAGCTCGTCTCCAGCCTGGGCAGAAGGGACTGTCTTCCCCACATCAAGGAACCTCGTCTGCTCGTTGAACACAGGTTGGTTGACGACAACAGGGAAGGAGCTGAACTTGAGAGCGCTGGCAAGAGCGAGGCTCACACTCCACACCCCAGGCCTGACGATGGTGAAAGTCAGATTCTGGACTACACTCGTCATCTGGATGCTTGTCATCTTCAGATCTTCGCACCCATTGAGCTGGAATGCCTGCTGATCGCACCGACTGTACAAGTAGACGTCAGTCGACTCTGCAACGGCAACGGCGATCGCCTGGGAGGTGGAGACTGTGTTGTTGAACGAGTCTCTGACCGCGAACGACAGGCTGAAAGAATCTCCCGCCCCGAGCGAACCCGGCGTAGGCTGTTGGACGAAGACGATGGAGGCAGGTAAGCCAGCCTCGACCACGAACACATCGCTGGTGGCCGTCAGCTGGGAGTTGGCAATGCAGAGGTCCGCGGACGAGTATGTGAAGAGTAGGGAGTAGTAGCCGGGGGTGGTAAAGTTGAAGGAAAACTCCAACCCAAGCACAGTCTCCTGCGAGATCGTCTTGTATGCCGGGACTGAGCCGTTGAGTGCAACCAGTGTGACTTGCACGTGGTGCTTGCTGGGCCCGGGGATGGAACACGACAGGCCATCGCAGCTCCACCCCCTCACTACGTCGCCCTGGAGGTTGAGGAGTAGGAGGACGAACGTGGGGGACGAGAATTGCCCGACGACCATCTGCGAGGGCTGGCGGATGACGTTGAGGTCCCATGCAGCGCCAACGGAGACGTTCAGCGAACCCTCGCGCACGAATGTCTCCGTGGAGCCGTCGAACTGGATCAGGAAGCGAAGGGTGTGCAGGCCGGAGATGTTCATCCTGAGGTTGCCGAAGGAGGCGATGCCGTCAACGAACTTGGCTGAGGACTGGCCCCACAGCTCACTGGAGCCGCTGCTAGTGTCGCATGCTCGGGAGATGGGGCTGAGCGTGAGGTTGGCGCTAGTGCCCTGTGTCCAAGAAGCGTTCTTGGGATGGAACCACCTCATAGCACTCAAACTGATCTTGCTGGGTGCGCTCTCAACTCCGCAGATGAGGACGAAGCGGCCGGCAGCGCTCAGTCTCGTGATGTTGCAGCTTCCCTTGTCGGCAGAAACGATCCAGGAGGAAGTCGTGCAAGGAGGGAGAACGGCGCTGCAGAAGTAGGCGTAGTAAGGCACCCCGACGACAGGAATCTCCTTGTTGAAGACGCTCTTCCCATTGATGACCTCGGTCGTCTGCCTGAAGGCTCCAGTGTACTGCTCGACGACCTGCACGGGAGATGAGAGCTGAAAGTCATCGTACTGTACCCCGCAGACGAAGAGGGAGACGACGACGTTCCCTCCGTTGACAGGGATGAAAACGTTCTTGCCCGTGTTTTCTAGGTACCCGAAGGTTCTGAGCAGGATTCCAGTCTGCGACGGGCAGCCGGCTACAATCCCCCACACGTTGGAGTTGAGGACGATGTCACGGATGGCGTACACGTTGAAGGGGTCTGTCTCTGCTGTGCTGATGAACTTGCTGGGGTCATCACACCTCGTCAGAGCGTAACAGTTCGGCAAAGAGAGGAGCAGCTGCAGCTGGGAGCTAGTCTGGTCCACCCGCACGTCCGTGAATTTCACGATCCCACCCACACTGGAGGCCCTGCAGTTCTGGTTGGCAGGGAACGAGTCGTCGCAAATCAGGCTTGGGCTGTTTGCTCCGGTTCCGACGACAGAGAGCTCATACACATTGCTATCTGCGTTAGCAACATTCCCAAACTGATCATAGATCATGAAAGCCGGTTGAGGAATCAAAATTCCTCCAAAAGTGCATTGGACATCTCCCGTAGAGCCTGATTTCCACGAGCATGAAGAATCGGTGGGGCTGGTCGACATCGCGATAATGTACGCAGTGCTGCTTACTATTTCAAAATTGGTGGTTAGAGCAGAAAGGGACATGGAGAAAAATTTGAGCTGATACGTTCCAACCGTTGACAACCTTATACTTGCAAACGTGACAATTCCGTCTGTAGAAAGACCATTCTGAATGAAAGTGCCATTCGATGGGCATGTGCTGTATGAGCTGCAAGTACCCTGAAACCGGCCGATCTCCGCAGAGACAGTCAACCCTTGAGCATTGGTGATGATGTTTCCGAAACTATCTTGAAAGGCAACGCTGACCCTGACGTTGGACGTTGACTTTGCTACGATCGCTCCAGCAGGCTGCTCGACGACCTTGAGCTGACTGACCTCTGCAGCGAGTATGCTGAACCTCTCGGACGTCGTGCTAGCAAAGCTGGGATTTGAGCAGTTCGGAAGCAGCTCCGAGACCTCGTAGATGCGAAAGAAAAGAACAAAATCATTGCCGGAAGACCGAACAATCACTGAGTCGAAAGAAGCTACTCCACGTTCTACGAACTTGAGCAACACCCCTTGCGCTTCTACACCAATGGTCTCGTTCACAGAGAGCTGCTGATGGACTTGAGCGCAAACAAAGAAATCGTTCCCGTCAGCATAGTTCCCGTAGACATCGACGAGTGCGACTGTCGGCGGAAGGATCGAAGTTCTCTTCAGACACCTGGACCCAACTTTGTAGGAGCAGACGCTGCCCAACGCCAATCCGGCAACGCTCATGTTCAAAGTTGGCAAAGTGATCACTGTGATCCCAACCCCTCTACCGGGCAACACCGAGAACGAGTTGGTGAAGGTGCTCATGAGGGAATCCGTACATGAGATCTCTGCTCTGCCATAACAAGTGAAAAGTTTGATTTGGAACTGGGTGTCCCTTGTACTCGTTTGCAAGCTCAAATTTCTGAAGGTCGCCTTGCCATCTACCGGCCAAATCACCGTATCCCCCACCAGTTTCCCGTCACCCCATAGCATAGCATGAATCCCGAAATCATAATCTTGTGCTGTATCCCAATAATACACGCCAGATACTTCTACGTTCCTCTGAACGAGGACCGAGAATTGGAACAACTGGTCAACTTGGAGGGTTTCAATGTTGTCAACCCCTAGCAACCTTCCATAGAGAACATCGAACGGGTTTGAGAGCAAGATGTGCGTGTAAGTTCCATTCATAGAGACACAATTTCCAGCGCAGAACTTCAAGGTGTATCCAACTCCTGGTTGCGATATACCAACATCTGTGAAGACCGCAAGGCCGTTCTTCACTGTTGCGACAGTCGTACCTAGCAAAGTGCCACAGCCGGGGTTGTTTCCGAACGAAACGTACACACGATCGAGTTCACCTCTCACTCTCACGACAGGCTGATTGGTGAGAGCCATCCCTGCCACTCCGCCTATGCCTGCAGCCTCTTCGAGAACATGTATCGTGCTGTTCATCGCCCTCAACAACAAGTTGGAATGACCCATTTCGGCAGAGGGATCTTCCATGATACGAGCGCTAGTTCTCGAACAAGATTGTTCAAACATCATTTGCACAAGGAACGAAAACAAAACAGCAACTTTGGGGTTCTTCATGAGTCCCGACATCTCCCCGTCCTTTGACAATTTCTAACCTTTCGTTTGTCGACCTGGTCAGACTGTTGACTTGCAACAGTCTCTGGGTACTGCTCTGAGCTTCAACGACGTTGGGTGCATCCTCTAGAAGGCTACGAGGCCTCCTGCTTCCTCAGGTTCCACCTCATCGCCGCCGATCCTCTACCAAGGGACTCATCGGACACGCCATGACTGGTGCGACGCCTCTTGGTCGGAGGGCATCATATTACTCTCAGTGCGCCCGTTACATCCGTTATTTACCGTTATGGTATTTGACTATTGTTTATGAAGTCCGTTATTCGTCTTCCTCACTCTGAGGCGGCCGGGGCCGCTGCGGCCCGGCCGGCACCCACTGCAGGCTGCACCGGGTTAAACAGCTAGATAGTAGTGCATCTTCTTTGCATGAGCAATGGCATGCTTCGCCTTGCGAGGGACGCTGAGGGCGACGATGGCGAGGAAGCTGTGGAGGGCCGGAGAAGAGAGGGGGAGCAGCTTGATCATGCCTGTCTGCAGGAGCATGGCAAGCTTCCCTTCGATTGCACAGTAAGGGGAGGGAGATGATACACCCAAAGACTCACTTGCAGCACAGATGGCCTGACCATGAGTTCAAGTGGCCGTCAATTGTCTCTTGCGAGATGTTGCAGGTAATGAGAGGGGGGTAAAAGCTTCTTGTGGTTGTTGTCTTCTTCCTCACTGTGCTCTCGTTCTCTATGTTTGTGTAATGATTTCATGACACAGCAAGAGATTGCAAGGCAGAGGAAACGATGCATGGAAGGGAAGCGCAATGGGTAATGCAATGCTGACGTTGACATGAAACTGATAGTAGTTTCAAGGGTCGAAAATACCTTTGACAGCTGGTGTCTGAAGGACAATGCATTGGACAATGTGAGCGCAATGGTGTTCTTTTTGTCAGTGCTGAACCGATCTTTTTTTTGTCTTTTTTTTGTCTTGGAAAGTTGGAGACAGCGTTGAGAATATGTCCCCTTCCCAAGGATTACATGCAAAATTTGATGAGTGTAGAGAAAAGGTTTCTCTTGTTCGGCTTCACTCTTCGCGTCTGAAAGTTTCTCTTTCTCAAGGATCTTTAAAAATTCGGACATTACCATCGATCGCAAATTGCTGCTTTTGATTGCATTCATGCACGTTTCATGGTTGAAAAGGTAGATACTTTTCACACAATGTCATGCATGATGTAATCTGCTGACGATCATTGACACCCTTGATCTCAGGGGAACTGGTCGTGTTCGCAAACTGCGAGACATTGATAGTGTCCGTGTTGATCGAGAGCGGATCTCAGATGCATTGTTCATGGATTCTCCCCTCATACACCAAGGAAACGGAGGTTGGTGCATCATCGTGTTGATCATTTCGTATGAATTTTGAGCTTTTGATTTCATGTGAATGTCCAGGCCTTGAATTCTTGGGAGATGCGATCCTAAAGATGTCAATCAGCTACGGCATAATGAAAGAGGTTAGGACGATAGCTTTCCCGCTTACCAGAGGTGACTTTGTTTTCAAGTCACCAGAAGGGAAGCTGAAAGACACTAGTATTCGTCGTAGTATGCTCGAGAACAACGAGGTGAAGAAGACATGACCCTGCTGAGCACAATTCACGTTCACTCTTTCAGCTCTTGGGAATTATGGCGACAGATATCTGGAAGATTTCTCCAGTCTTGCTGTTTGCCCACTCCGAAATGCTGATGATCAGAGAACGGAGAGACAGGCAAGAATTGGAAGCTCCCGTGGTTATATTTTTGCCACTTTACAGAATGTCAACCTGACACTGTCTTTGAATTTTCATTCAGGCTGCCCGCTGGAACAAAGCTTTGTATCAGGTTTGTTGTTGCTGACGAGGATGAAACTTCCTGAATTATTCCTCTGCAGTTTTCAGCCAATTGTGCTGAAGCTCTTGTCGCGGTTGTGGCATTAGGTGAGATCTTGTGAGATGGTGAACGAGGGTGAGGAAGAAGTGCCAGACAAAGGAGTTGACGCCGCGATGGAGTTTGTGCATAAGGATGTAGTCCCCAACTTGGAGTATATACTCGGTATCAACGTTTGCCATTCAAAGTCAGGACTTGGCAGTAATTGCTCTGATTGTCTCTCAGATTCTCCAAGTTGGAAAGAGAAGCATGGAAAGGACTGGGATCCAATCTCAGAGCTGCAGAAAGTGATGCAGAAGAGATTCCAGGAGGAGCCTGAGTATAAAGTGCTCAAGGAGATCTCCCAAAACAATAACAGTGATGACCATTGATCATTCCTCTTACGTACTTACTGCTCTTTTCAGCTGCTGACATGCAGTTCGTGGTCGGAGTCTTCATGTCAGGAGGAAATTTGTTGGGAGTGGGGCAAGCAAGGAGCAAAGCTGCTGCGAGGTGATGGTTGACACCCTCCTGCTTCTACGAATACACTGAGGTCCAATTTCTCCTTCTTGCAGGCGACAAGCTGCATCCACTGCCCTGAGCAAAATGACGACCAACGGGAGTTGACGTGGACAGTCACCAGATTAGCATTTTTTCATTGTTGAGAAAGTAAACGTCAAGAGTGACATTGCCATGAAGACAGTAGCAAGAGGAGGGGAATTATATATTGCTTTATTCATTTCAAAGATGATTACGATTCGTGATTAAATCAAACCTGATGATTCAGCATCATCGAAGAACGTACAACGATAGCGAACAATCAAATCACGACAATATCACGCCATCAAGCAGACGACTACTTCCACTTGTTTCTTTTGCCTAAACTAAAAAATTTGGAGAGCGGCAACGGGCAAGCAACAGGATCCCGCTGGGTCCTTTAGGCCTTGGCGGCAGCCCTAGCGGCAGCCTCCTGCTGAGCTCTTCTCTTGGCGTACTCATCCTGCAGAGATCACAACATTTCAGAAAGAGCTCCGGTGAAGCAGACATATATAGTACCTTGGTCATAAATCCCTTGGGCATGATGATCGCATTGTGCTCGGCGATGTATCCGCTCGAGACCTGGTTAGGATCCAAGTAGAATTCAGGCTGTCCGTTGGCACTCTGAACAAAAGGGAGCATGGGAGTTGTAGCAGCCATTGGCTGGTTGAATGGAGCGCTCAAGTAGCTAGAGGCATCGATGGTAGGAACGCCATAGGAAGGAAGAACCTGGGGGTAGGAAGCAACAGGAGCTCCCTGAGCGAACGAGGCCACAGGAGCGCCCTGGATAGGGAACTGAGCAATAGGAGTTCCCTGGATAGGAGCCTGAGCAAAGCTAGGGAACTGGCCGGGGAGGACGGAGGGCTGGAAGGCGGACATGTCGGGGTAAGAGTATGGCTGCTGCATGCTTCACAGGGATGCGATTTTAGCGCTGAGAGGGGGAGAATGAAGGGGTGGGGGGTTGGGGGTGGGGTGGAGTTGGCAGTCAGATTGGGGGTAGACATTTTCATATGGGGGTGGGGTTGAGAAAAGAGGAGAAATGTAACTGGTACGCGATAGACTGGACGGGGTGGGGTAGGGGGTGCAAGGGGGGTAGTGTAGGGCCGCGCTGATCAGTCGCGGCAAACGGATTTGTTACTGGACTTCAGACATTCTAGGGGTAGGGGTGGGTTGACCATGGGGTGGTATGGACGTGTGTTCGGGTGCACGCCTGGGGTGGGACAATAGAGGAGTCAGCATTGAATGACGACACTGGATGGGGGTGGGGTACGGCATGATGGGGAACTCAGAGGGGACCGAGGGGACCTCTGGGGTCGCCCGTCAGGGGTAGTAGAGAGAGAATCGGGGGCTGGTGCTACCCTGTCATACCGAGTCCATTTTCATATGTAACCCCAGGATAGAGACCTCATGAGGGGTGGGGTAGGATGGGGTAGTGCCTAACAGTAGTGTCGGTGAGTGAGGCGAGAAGATAGTAAGGGTGGGGTGGGGTTAAAGCCTACCGAGAGCGAAGTGGGTAGGATCCAGGATGATTTACAGAGGGTGGGTGGTTGGAGCCTCAGAGTGTGGAACATGATGGTGTGGGTGTGACAGTCTTTAAGTAAGGTACTAAATGATTATCGGTATGTCATCTGGTCCATCCAAGTTTGCATTGTCTACTTGACCGCTACCCCACCAGTTCCCTCACGGGATCGATCCCTCCAGCCGCTGAGGCTCGATGCCGCACCCACAAGACTACCCCTGTTGACATAACGGATTACTTCCATCACATGAGGGTGGGTGGGGTATGTAAACACCCCTACTCAGTTGTAGGTCAGTAGTCCAGTCCCCCAAACATCCCAACACGTTCAGCAGTTACAGGCTTTGAGAGTGTGTGGGAAAAGGAGAAGTACCGGGTCCTTCATCACGTTTTTACACGGTACCGTGCTAAATCTCGTTCACGTGAGGGTAGGGTCATCAGAGGCTCGCCGGTAGCAGAGAAATAGCCGTTATAAACTTGAAACTTAGCCTGGGGGTGGTGGGGGGTGGGGGGTGGGTTCGATAAGCCCCGGGGTAAAAAATAAAATCTACTGGCCGGTACGATCGGATGATACGGAGGCTCGCAACCTACTGAACTGATCGTCCACGTACTGATTTTTAACTTAATTTTGAGTAAACAAATGAAGAGAGTCTGTGGCGCCCGATCGGATCGAAACCTCTTCCCCCGGGGGTGCAGTCGGCACCCGCCCCGGACTGAGGGCCCGCTCAGTCGAGGCGGGCCCCTCGGCGTTCAGGCGCTGCCGGCGAGTTCCGGACACTGAGATTCACTGAGTCGACTGCTGAGTCGAGTCACTTCGAGTCAAATGGGCCTGAGCGGGGAAGAGTCCCGAAAGGGCACGTGCGACCATGTCGATGTATCGCAATGCCAAGAAGCTGTCCAAGGGTGCGCTGGCGGATGAGCTTGGCGACACGTCAGAGTCAGAAGAGGAGGAATTGTCAGAGGAGGAGGATGAGGATGAGGAGGAGGAGGAGGACAACGATGATGACGAGGACGAGGACGAGGACGAGGACGAGGACGAGGACGAGGACGAGGACGAGGAGAACATTAAATCGCAGAAAGGAAAGAAGGCCAAAGTTGGAACTTCCAAACAGGGGAAACAGCAGGGATCATCTGACTCTGACGAGAACGGAAAAGAAGATAGTGATGATGAAGGGGATGAGGATGCAGAGCCCGGCGATTCTACCACCAAGTTTCCGATTACATGTACTCTCTGCAACCGAACGTTGAAGGACGAGGAGCAACTGAACGTACACCTTGCAAGCAAGAAGCACCTGAAGAAGACTAGACAGCATGAGCTCAACGAAAAGAAAGCTTCGAGGACACCTGAGGCCATAGCCCACCTGAAGGAGAAGAACCAGCGGAAAAAGGAACGACGTCTTGCCAGGAAGAAGGAGGAGCGCGAGAAGAAAGGTCACGTATGGGGTCAGCACAAATATCCCCTAAAGAAGGACAGAGAAAACAAGCAGCAAAACCCTCAAACGCCTCAGGCTGAGAAGGATGGAAAGGGCGAGAAGTCAACAGGCAAGAAAGCGCATGTGAGTAAAGGAGAAGCAAGGAGTGAGAAGAAGGATGAAGATGACAAGGACAGAAACGGCGGGAGAACAGTTGGCAAAACGAGCGAAAAGACAATGACCAGCAACAAGGCAGGCAAGAAGAATAATGGAAGTTCCGAGCCAACGAGCACTAAAGGATCGGCAACGCAAGGTAAATCAAAAACGCCAGAAGTAAAAAGGAAGGAGGCGCCAAAGACAGCGCCCAGGAGCGTTCCGAGCAAGAAGATGAGGAGAGAGTGAAGATAACATGCTCTGATAGCATGAGGACATGTAGTGGATGTCAAGTTTTAATGTACAACGTGTGACGTGTCACCCTTGTGTGAGCTGTGGATGTGGCGTATCAGATCCTTCTTCTTGATGATCCCCACCAGCTTTGACTTCCTCACGACGAGGACGTATCGTAGCCCCATGGTCAGGAAGAGATCCTGGACGAAGTCAAGAGGGGCAGCTGCGTCCACCTGGATCACGCGAGTCGCCATCTTCCTGACAAGAGACTGGGAGATGTCATCGTCACCCTCCTGAAAGATCTCCTGCAGCCTCGGGTCAGTGACTTGACGTCAGGAGCGAACGGGACCTCGAGGCTCTCGCGTGTGATGTACCCAGCGACTGTCATCTCCTCCTCGCTGTGGACGACGGGGAACCCTCGATAAGCACAGGAGGCGAGGGTCTCACGAATATCTCTAGCGGTGGTGCTGACGAGGGAGAGGAAACGAAGCTTGTCCTCTTCCCCGACCAGCTTGTCTGCTGCCCCCAAGTTCTTGATAGGATCGTGCTTGTTGTCCAGGAAAGGATACCCTTTCTCTTCGATCACGTTCTCGTACACCGTCCTCCTCCCCAGCGCGTCACCCGTCCACTTGCTCACCATGACGGCAGCCATGACGGGGAGGACGTACTCGAGCCCTCCCGTGATCTCGAGCATGATGACGACGAGACAGACGGTGATGCGGGTCACACCAGCAAGGACGGAAGCAGCTCCCACTATGGCGTAGACCCCCGGGGTGATGCAGCTCGTCGTCTTCCTGCAGACGCTGAAGATGCCGGAGTCTCCTACCCACCTCCTCGTCGCATCGACGATGAGTCCGACAGCGCGACCGAGCAGGGAGCCGATGCACAAGGAGGGAATGAGAATGCCGCCGGGGACAGGACTCGTGCAGCTCCAGACCGTAAGGCTGCGAAGAGGAGAGGATCAGCATGCAGGAGGAGCAGGACGAGGAACAGGAGGAGCGAGGACTGAGGAGAGATCAGTGGTAGGACGTACGGAATCTTGATGAGCGCGCAGAGGAGAAGCTCCTGGTAGTGGAGAGAGATGAGTCAAGCTAGACAAGAGCAGGAGGACTTGCCGCAATGATGACAGCTGAGTCTTGACAAAGAGACTGAGTCAGGTGGAATCTCGTATTGCAGTCGGCAAAGAGAGCTCCCAGCATGTCTGTGGAGCTTGTTCGCAGAAAGGAACTCTAAAACCAGAGCATTAGGAAAGAGAAAAAAAGGCACGTCCCGTGACTGAACCTGATAGTGTATAAGTGACGTTACGAGGCTGACAATCAGGGTCTCCTTGATTGGGAAGTTGTGCATACCCTGAGCAAGACAGTCAACTCATAACAAACATCATCTACACATCTCACTCTCAATCTTCGCAGCTCCAGCAGCGCATGATGTGAAGTGTTGAAGATCCAACCGATCAGCCCTCCCAGCACTCCGAGCAAGAGGAAGGGACCCATCTCGAACCACTTCCAGTTGTGATGGTACTGAACCTCGAACATCACCTGCGACGGCAGCAGCAGCGCGAGGAGCAGCAAGATCAGGTAAGCACGGAGCAAGGGAACATGCTTACGAGCTTCTCTGTCCCGTAGAAATTCAATCGTTGAAGCGTCAGCACGGCTACGATGGCGCACCAGAACGATCGCCAGAGCGTCTTGGCAGGGAAGTAGGAGGAGACCTCTTCCATGCTGCCACGGGAGTCTCTCAGAGCCTTCCATACCTCCATACCTCCTCCTCCTCCTCACCTAAACAAGACTCCACCTATCGGCGCTCCGAACGCCACTGCAACCCCAGCCGCAGCCGCGCTCGAGAGCAGCTCTCGCCTCCTCCCCTCATTGTTCCTGAACTTGGAGAACAAGACGGCAGAGACGTTGGCGACTATCATGGCAATGTGGATGAAGGGCCCTTCCTTGCCTACGCTCATGCCGGAGCCCACAGCGAGCATGAGAGCAACCGCCTTGGTCACGAGGGTCCAGGCGTCCAGCAGCCCTGGGACTTCGAACCCGCTCATGACCACTTTGATCTCAGACAGGCCGCTGCCTGCGGAGAAGGGAGAGAGGCGGGAGATGAAGGCGGAGAGGCACGCCATGCCGCATGCGATCAGCGAATACGCGAGGAAGTTGAGGAGCCCTCCTGCTCCCCACGCCCTCCAGTGCTCGCACCCCTCGCTCTCTCTGCTCTCCACACAGCAAGTCGATCGAGAGATCCAAAAGCCTCGAGTACACATGCCGAACTTGAGGTCTGACATCCAGTCTGTGCCGATGTCAAGCATGGAAGCGATTCCTCCGCACAGAACTCCAACCAGCCCCAGTGCGATCCAACTTTGAGCAGCCTCGTAAGCGAGGTAGGCATGCTTGAGAGGAGGCGACCATCTTCGGATGCTCTGCTTGACTCGCTGCTCATGCTCTCTTGCCAAACTTCTGTAGTGATTCCAGTCAACGGTAGGAAAGCCCTGATGCCTCGCTGGCTCGTCGTCCCCCCTCCTCCTGGGCAAGTTTCGAGCCTCTTGCTCCTCCTCGGCCACATGCTCGGGGTTGCCGCTATGCGCCTCCTCTACAGTCTGCAGCAGGTTCACGAGCTCCTCTCCCTCCTCATCCGCGTCCTCGTGGTGCTTCCCGAACCATCGCATGCCACCTGAAGTCCAAGGAGCATCAGCCGTTGCACGCTTGTGCCTCCCCCCCGCTTTCCCCCCTCCTCCCTCTCGCTGTCCTCTTGCCTATCCTGAAGTTACTTTCCTCGTCCTCCTGCTCCTGAACTCTTCTACTTCCCCTTCTACTCCCCTCCCCTCCCGCCCTGCTCCCCTCCCTGCTCCCTCCCCGCCCCGACCTGCGCCCCGACACAACTTTCATTTCATATATTGCAGGCTCCCTGAGGCCAGCCCGGAGGCCTCCTGGTGCTGCTGCTTTCTCTTCCTAGTTCTTGCTCCCTCCCCCGCTGGCCATGCCCCTCCCCCTCCTCTCTCACGCAACCACGACAAGGAATCAGTTTTATTCTTCTCTACATTCACTGCCGCGTCGCTGACTCGTCGAGCTCTTCAAACATCTTGGCGATGCTCGAAGAGTCGAAGTCCAGCTGGACAGGAGGTGAGCCAAGGCCTTTCTCAGCTCGCCTCACTCCCTGGTGCAGGAATGAGGCGTCGTTATCGGCCGGTAACTTGCTCGCGGAGTTCATATCCTCAGCTACTATGGGCGACACCTGCGAGGTCAGTGCCTGCAGCAAGTTGCTGCCGCGAAGAGACGGGGAACTTGCTGTCAGCATGACGGGAGCAGCAGCAGGGGAGACAGCAGGCTCGATCTCTGTGCAGCTGTGTGCGCTCCTTTCCTCTCCTTCCACCTTCGCCTTTGGACCTCCATGCAGGTCTACAGGGAGGGACTGAGCAGAGCACACATCCTCCTCCTCCTTCCCCTCCGTGCCGTTCGCCTTGACTGCGCCAGTGAAGCTTGACGGTCCTCCCATGTCCTCAGGGCCTGAGCGAGCGGGAGGAGGAGGAGGGTCGCTGAACTCTTGCATCTTGTCCTTCTTGCAGGCCTCCATGTGCTCCATCACCTCCTGCGGGAGCATGCCGACTAGGTCGTCGTGCATGGCCTTGGAGCAGATGACGATCTTGTTCCTTGTCCTCTCGTTGAGCACGGGCTTGATGATCCTCCAGATCCCGTAGAAGAGCGAGGGGGAGTTCAGCACAAACACCTTGCTTAGGCTCTCCGGATACTTCTTTTGCCCGATCTCGAAGAGCTGGTGCAGCAGCCGCAGCACGTGCGTGTTCATGTGTCGCGAGCTCAGCCCCAGCAGGTCAAAGATCACCACCGACCCCCTCAGCGCGCTGTTGAAGTGCCTCGCCCCCAGCAGCGACCCCAGCAGGCCCGACTCCAGGTGGAAGTGCCACCAGCGCAGTATCTCATCGTGGATGCAGTGCTTCTGGAGATCAGCTGGGAAGAGGTTGGCGATCGCCCAGTACTCAACCAGCTGACCTGTCAGGGTGAACCCGATCCTCCTGCAGGGGACGAACCCCAGCACCTTCCTCACCCCCGCGTCGGAGATGGCTGGCCGCCATGCCGGGTCGTTGGGGTCGAGGACGAGCTGGGAGCCGATGACGCTCTTGATGAGCTCGTGCAGCTTGTGAGAGGAGCGGTAGTCGAGGATGTCGGTGAACATGACCTTGGCCCTGTCCACCTTCCAGCCGTTGGCCCGCAGCAGCTTGCATGACACTTCCTCCATCCCTCCCATCCTCGTCAGGAGGATCTTCCCCTGCTCCCTCCCTGTCTCGCCCTTCAGCTCCACCTCCATGAAGCTGAGTAGGGAACTGCATGCTTGCCGCTGCTCCTCCGTCAGGTTCCCGGGGTATCCCGGATCGTTGTTCCTCGGCAGGTCGCCAATAGGGTGGGGAGAGGACGGTGAGGAGGAGGCGGCCTTGGAAAACTTGTCCTGGGGGGGCGAGTTTGACGTCGAGTGCCAGTCGCCACCATGCCCGTTGCTCGACAGGTTCAGCGACTGCCCCGAATCCTCCTCGAAGATCATCTCGCTCCTGTCAACGAGCGGTTGAACTTGTTGCAATGACGACAGATGATCCTCCGTATTCAGCAACAAATCTTGTGCTCCTACCCTTGTTGTTGTTGCTGCTGGTGGTGGTGATGCTGCTGCTGCTGGTGATGCTGGTGGTGGTGGCGATGCTGCTGCTGCTGCTGCTGCTGCTGCTGCTCCTCCTCCTCCTCCATTCGCACTTTCCTCGATCCCCAGAGAAATGAGTGGAGCTACAGGAGACGCCGATGGAGGAGGCGAAGAATGCTGGACTACTGGGGTCAAACTTGGAGTTGTTGACAGATCGACAAAGCGCCAGCCGCCGGCAGCATTGCCCGTGTGCCTGGTAGAGGCGGCAGGGAGTGGAGGGGAGAGGGGGATAAGGGGAGGCGTCTTGTTGTCTTCCTCCGCAGCCATCAGCTCGACCTTGCTCGACAGCATGCTCGTAGAGAGGTTGAAGGACTCGAGGTCGTTCACTTCCATGCAGTCTTCGAAGGGATCGTTCTCCTTTCCGTTGGCCGCCATCCAGTGCAGCTGGGTGTCCCGATCCCCTCCATTCATGTGCGGACTGGACGACTTTCCTCCTGTGCCTGCTGCAACCGCCTCTACTCCTGCTGCTGCTGCTGCTGCTGCTGCTGCTGCTGCTCCTTGTTCCACCATTATCTTCGAAATGTCCAGAGTGGTGTTTGCTACCATCATGTCTAGAGTGTTCAAAGGTGCCTGCTGCGCTCCTGACAAAGTCGCCGCCTCCTCCTGCTTTTCTTGCGCTCCTTGTAGTCCAAACCACTCAAGGCCCACAACCTGCGACGTCTGCTGCCTCTGAGAATCGTCCAAATTCTCTCCAGCATTTGTCCTCATCGACCTCTCCCGCTCAATCCCATTCATTCGTTCCCCTTCAACTCTCAACCCCTGGTCGTCTTGCGCGCCTGTAACCCATCCCTTCCCCTCCTCCTCCACAACTACCTCCTTGCTCTGCTCAACCTTGACTTCTGTTCCTTTTTTCCCAGCAGCAGCTTGTCTGCTCGAGCTGTTCCCGCTGCCTTCCTTCGACTTGCGGTAGAGGATCTTCTCCCCTGTAGCGTGTGCGATGCCCATCATCTGGTTCGGAATCTCCCGCAGCGACTTCGCCTCGTCCAGTGCTCGAGCCAGTGAGTTCGCCAGCAGCTCCTGCAGGGCATGGTCTTTCTTCTTTCCGTTCTTCGAGCCCCCCGCAGCTGCCCCAGGCGCCTCCTTGGTCGACAAGGACGAACCCTGAGAGCTCTGCGCGGTACAATCTGACGAATTTCTCCTCTGCCCCTTCGCCTCCGACACTTTGGCAGCCTGAAGGAGAGAATCAAGGCTGTTTCTGCTCTCAATTCCCCCGACCATATCGCCTCCTCCCTGAACCTGTCCTTCCTCCGTGATCTCCACCGGACCCCCCGCCGGTTGGGTTGAGCAAGAGAGTTCCATGTGGTCTTGAAGGACTCGGACTCTCTCACGTGCATCTGTCACTTTGTTGAAACGTTCCCCTCCGATGCATTCATGCAGCTTCTTCCGCGCTGACTGGTCCGCTCCACCCTGCCAAATGTCATAAGTAAACGACACACGAGCAGGAAGAACAGGGCAACACCATGAGGAGTAGCCCGTTGGAACCTTGCTCTCTCGTAGTGAGCATCAAGATCTCGATCTCTTCCAGTCTCTCCTTCACTTGCTTGTTCAACATGTTCACCTGCTCCCGGATGGAGCAGATGTCCTGCAAGATGATCGACTCTTCCCTTCTGATCCCCATGCGGTGGGCCCGCCGTTGGAGGATGTAAGCATGGAGCCTCGTTGCAATGAGCAGGATGAGCTCGAAGGCAAATCCGCAGCTGATGGAAACAAGAGTTTCCAAGTCCACATCGAGAGTGCCCACGAAAGGAAAGAAAAATCCGATTCCGAGCTGGTGCGATTCGTGGATGTCAGTCATGTACTGCATCTTGTTCTGCAAGACCTGATACTGCAAGAGAGTTCGCTCAGGGCTGGAAACAGACACCACAGACCCGAGATTCCTCCCAAACTTCCTCACTACTGAGACGCCCGAAGACACGGCATCCCCCAGAGCCTTTGCTCGAAGGAACAGCGCCAGGAACACGAGCTGCGAGTAGATGGCTGTCATGGACAAGTACCAGGACCCGTGCACGTGTGCCGAGACGATCAGGAGCGCATGAACAAACAGATGCAGCGTCAACCACGGGGACTTGTTCTTCTTGCTGTCGTTTGACTTTAGAGATTCCAGCTCGAAGTCCTCCTACAACAACCGACAGGTCAGACCATCGGGACGTAGGGCTCTACTCTACCTCATCGTCCATGTCGACCAGCGCGATCGTCGCCATGATTTCATTGCGGAAGTTCCACAACTTCTCATGCCACTCCACCACTTGCTTCTCTATCCGGATCAGATCCTCAGCCTTAGAGCAGTTTGTGAGATGCCTCGCCGCTCCTGGCATGATGGGCGTCGGAGGCATCCTGTTATGGAAATCTACGATCCTCCACATGAGTGGAAGGTGATAATGTGTTGTGATGGCCTGCAAGCACAACTTTCAGCAACAGTCACATGCAAGCGCATGTCACAAGGACCCACCAACACAAACACGATGAGGCTGACGCTCCAAAGCGCTGTCTGCCGTGACAGTCCTTGTGGCTCTTCGTGCGCCTGGTGCTCGCACGGCGAAGGGTTGGCATTTTGAGAATGATCTTGAGCATCTCGTCTGTCATGTTCATCCCTGTGGTCCATCCTTTCCTGTAAAAGTTTCGCCGCCGATGCAGAGAACGCTGCGATCGAAGCGGTCCAAGGGAAGTAGTTCTTCATGAATGCTCCTAGCTTTTTGCTTCAGCTTGCTGCGTGAGAGGTTCCAAGAAAACTTCTATGGTCACCAGACCTCCAGGCTCACGGCAAATTCGACTGCATGCGCAGCACCCAAAATGCAATCCAACAGTTCAGTTGAATTCTTTTTGTTTCTTCCAGGGCCAGGAGTTTTACAGTACTGTAGCATGCAGGATGTACCTCCTGATAGCGAACATTGCGCCTGACCTTTCTCTTGCTCTATCTCCCTCTCCTCCTCCTCCTGATCTCGCTCCCTCCCCTACGTCCCTCCTCGCTATGCCAGGTTCCATGGCCGCCAGCAGCCGCCAGCGAATAAAAATGTTTAGATAAAGACTTATAGCTCTAAATCGTTTTTCTTGTACAAGTCTGTATCTCAAAGTAAAACTCTGAGTTTTTTATCCGTATGACTTTATAAAATAATTTTACATCAGTACAAAATAATGACGAGGCGGGTTGTCTTTTGTACATGGAACATAAAAATACATTTTGAAAGTTAATTCCGGTACAAGAGACAGTAACGTTCCCAGTGTGGTGGAAGAGAATGCCCATTACTAAATCATTTTTATAAAATATAAAATTCTAGTTGTACACGGTCCGTCTTGTCGGGGAGTCGGGGGCGGCGGCGAGGAGCAAAAAGATGGCGAGTGCAGCATAGACAAGGAGCGAGAAGAGGCTCATCCTGCATGTTCGACGATCAGGCTCATACCAGCTGCTCATTCTTTCACCTCCATCTCTCGTCTGTCTGAGGCGACAACGTGATCGGAGTTCCGTAGGAAAGCCCTGCCCTGCTCGCAAGCATGTCAGTTATCAGAGATCACGCATCGACAGCTCACTTGGTGTCCTGATGCCATGGTCCGGCAGATGACTCTGAGTCCTGCGGGAGACAAGACAAGAAATGATCAACAAGGATTTCAAGTGTGCTTCCCCACGACCTCGACGTTGGACGAAAAGCTCTCAGGGTTCTGCATGCAAGAGTCAACTCAACGGGCTGAGGACAAGGAAGACAGACTTCAGGCAGAATGGGATAGCTCGGGATTCCTGTCTCGACCGTGACTGCAGCCCCGAAGAAGTCTGTGACAAGAATGTCGCCCCTTGCAAGAACTTGTCAGAAAGTGGTAAAAGAAGATGTTCATGAAGGTTACAAAGGACGATGTCGCCAAAGGTTCGTCATGAAAGCTGGGAGCGGCAAGTCATGTAAACACTAAGATTGTACAAGATACGAATGTTCACGATACCAGGATTAGAGAGCAGACGCCTGTGATAGTTCGTCAGTTCGGTTCGGCAACAGAGTCCCTTTACCTTGGATCCAACGTGCGCAGAACACTCAACAACGTCGCATCGCTTCCAATCGAGAGCTTTCACAGAGGAGATGAGCGGAGGAGCAGAAATGTCCACAGCCACCTTCTCCAGGCTTTCGAGCAGAACGTAGGTGAATCGATCGACTAGAGAAAGTCCTGCCCAGCTGGTTATTCAAGTCACCGTACCCAACAGGAAGAGCTCACCTATGTAGTCATCGTGCCCCCAGGAGTAGGAGTTTTCTCCTTTCTGATGTCAAACGTCACAGGGGTGACGAGCGCATCCGTGAGAAGTCAACCTGACTGCTTCCCACAGCGAAAATGTTCGGGGAGTACAAATGATTTGCCTTGGACCGAGTCTCAAACAAAACCAAAAAAGCTCCACTGCACTCTACCAGGGTTCCGGCTTGACATGTATCCACCATGAAGAGGATCTCATTGTAGCGTTCCTGTTTGACCCTCAGCCGGAATGCTTTCTGCTTCCTATCGCACCTTCTCCCACATTTGTGCGAAAGCATCCGCGATGTCCCTGCTCGACAGTTCCTCCACATCCTTCGAGGACGATCAAACGGGAGGAGTTGACTGCGGCATGAGAGACTCACCTGAAACTTCAAGAATTCGTCTCCTCCATGTCCAGTCATGTAGATCAAGATGTTGCTAGTTGATCTGGCCTGAAATCAGCGGCTAGCTGAATCACAAGGAGAGTCACTTGGTGTTGAGGCGCTTGGAGGGCGGCGTTCCGTCAGGATGACGTCCTAGGGCGATGAGATGAGCATCATGGAGAAGGGAGGAGGAGGAACAATCACCCGTAAGCACTCTTAGAAAGTTTTCTACAGTCACTTCATAACCTCTGTAATCCACCTTGAACTCTCGTCAGAACAGCCATGAAAGAAACGGAAGGTCTACCTCAATGTTGTCCCCGTACAAGTCGAGCCTCTTGACATCATCGTTGAACACACTCCCTGGCTCGGAGTTTCTGTAGCAAACAATCACAACCAAGTACATCTCGCCAAAACAAGATGTTCCACCTCGAGTTGCACGACATGTCGTCCGCTAACATAAGGATGATGTGCGAATCCGGCATGCCCAGCCTCTTCACAGTTCTGTGCAGATGCGTCAGACCATGGGCCACCATGAAGTAAGCTTCCGCCTGTAGATAGCCAAAGTGTTTGCAATGTGCCTGTAGTTGAACCAAAACCGGGAGGTACACACGAGGAGGGCCCAGTTCTCCGTGTGCTCCCCTGGGATCACGATTCAGAAGCTTTTTCGGTAGGCAGAAACTTCTTCATCACCGCTTCCTCGTTTCAGGAAGTCTCCCACGTTCTCCGATGCTGTCGGAACATCCATCGGTCAGCTGCCGAGGAGCAGGAGGGGATGGGTCGGAACTGACCGGCCTGCGAGTCAAGCACCTCGAAAGACCCCACGTTGTTGGCAGACCACACGACCTGAAGTTCCATGCATGAGACGAGATCAGGGTAGCAGGAGGAGGGCTGGATCTTCCCTCCCCTCCTCCTCTCCTCCTCTCTCACCGGCATCATCAAAGCCATCAGCCCCAGCGCGACTGCCAACCTCCCACGGGAGCCGGCCATTCCTCGCGCCATGGCGGAGGTGGGTGGGCAAGTGCGGGAATGAGGGCTTTTCATCGGGCGGCTGCTCTGTACCATGGCGGGGCGCGCGTTTGTGACGCTCATGGCGCTCTCGCATGCAGTGATGGGATGCAGCGCCTTCCTCCTCCCATCCTCTTCCCACATGCTTCCTTCTCCCCGAATCTCCCTGCAGAGATCCTGCACGCTTCCTGCCAGATCGTCCTGCTCGGTTCGAGTTGGGAGCAATCGGGAGGGTGATCAGGGAGCCGTCAATTGCGAGATGAAGCTGGAGGACAGGATGAACAGACGAGACGCCATGGGAGCTGTCGTAGGAGCTGCATCGTTGATCCTCTCCCAGCCTGCAGATGCAGCTGAGCCAAAAGTGACCAAGAAAGTCTTCTTCGAATACAAGATAGCGGGCAGAACCAAGGTGAGAACGACAGCTGTATGAAGAATCTCGACGCGCTCTGACAACATGTCAAAGGCGATGGAGAACGAGAAGTGGGAGAAGGTCACAACTAACATTTGAGTTTCCGCGCCATGACATGGGTTTAGATCATAGCCAGAGACAAGCGGGCAGGAGGAGCGAATGGTGAGGACAGAACTGCGAGGATTGTGATCGGACTGTTTGAAGACGCGGCACCCAGCACTTGCAAGACTTTTATCAAGCTTGTGAAGGTGATACGAATAGCTTCTTGCCGACGAGGTTAAGAGTTGATGTCGGCAGGGCGAGTTGATCGCCCCTTGCATGGATGAGCTGGAGGCGCTGGGGGACCCCGATGCGTTCACTGTGAGCGCGAGGAGCAAGCTGACCAAGAGGAACAACTACAGGCAGTGTAAGGCAACCGAGGACAAGCCTGTTGGCTACGAGTACAGCCAGCTGTGGCGAGTCGTCAAGGACAAGCGGTTGGACTTCGGGAGGATCAACAAGCTTTACCGTCAGACTGAGAACAACAACGACAGCAACGAGTTGAAGCATGATAGAGCTGGTGGGAGGACTGAAAGGCTTGCTAGAGGCTGACTTGATGCTGTTTGACAAGGGTTGGTCTCGACGAGGAGGGGAGGAGGACAGTTTGAGTTCACGGTTAATCCTGTGTCGCCGCAGTCGCGGGTTGTAGCATGACCAGCTGGCAGATCACACCTAAGGCGAACCCCGAGCTCGACCAGGAGAACGTCATCTTTGGTTCCATCGCATGCCGTGAGATCCAGTCTTGTTGCAGTGACGTCAAGAGAACAGGTGAAGTGTTGGAGGGGCTGGAAGAAATCGAGAAGCTCAACAACATCCCCGTGACACAAGGGCAGTTCCTCGAAGCTGCATTCAAGGTCTCACAGGGAGTCTTTATCCCGCACACTGAAGTCCTGAGGGTCTCAGATGTCAGGGCAAGTGATTGGAGATGATCGAGCCAAGATTCAAACTACCAATCGACCCCTTCAGAAGATTTATGTGACCAAGTTGGAGAGATGAATCGATTGCGCAGGTCTGACTTGTTGCGTTCCCCAGGTGCGGAGTTCTGTGAGGAAGAGGGGAAAGGTCGTAGGATATGCTCTGATAGACGTTCTGGCAAAGAGATTCCGAATGAATCAGGAAAACAATAATTTACTTGTTGGGAATGTACACACGCCTTGCTTATTTCAAGCCTATACGAAATTCACAAGATTCGACGAGACGATCTTGCTATTGCCGCTGTGAAAGATTGACATAAGAAACAGCCAAACAGAGATCAAAAGTCTCACCTTGCGATGGAGCATCTTCTCCGATGCACTGTTCATCACATTCAAACGCTCTGACCACAGCAACGCCTGTCCAGGACTCGTCAAGAGACGGATTGCACAAACGAGCAGGAGGGAGAGAGGCTGGGCGAACTGATGTTGGTGATAGGTGAGGAGGAGGAGGAGGAGGAGGAGGAGGAGGAGGAGGAGGAGGAGGAGGAGGAGGAGGTACACATGTACTGACCTTTCCTCCATGGCCGATGATCATGTGCGAGTTGACGAGGTTCCTCATCATCCTCGCGTACAGCCTAAGAGGCGTCACAGCCTCGAGCCTGTTCTTCTCCCGCATGGACGTGTCGGTCTTGATGAATTCCTTGACGCATTGCAGGTGGGACATCAGCTTGCCCCTCTTGAACACGTCCAAGAAGAAGGGAGACCCAGTCTGCGTCTCTCCCCGCACCACAAAGTGTCCTGGACACTCGGAGCCGCTAAGGTATAGCCCACAACGACGGGCCACGGCGATGTAGATGATGCTGAGGGTGATGGCGTTCCCAGTCTTTCTCTGCAGAGCCTCATGGATCAGGCCGTTCCTTGGGTCGTAGTACTCCTCAAGATTCGCTTCAAACTTCATCTCCTTGAACATCACCTTGTTGAGCGCCGCCATGATGCGCAGCTGCCTCGCCTCCAACCCGATCTCCTTGGCCAGCGTCGACAAGGCCTCCTCCAGGCAGTCTCCAGCATGGCATTCCTTGGGCACAGGATGTTCGAGCATAAGGTACTTTGCTACGTCCAAGTCCGAGATCGAGGTCAGGTGCTTCTGCACTTGCGCGGCCATGTCGTCGAGCTGAGCCAGCACGGATGATGCTTGCACGGAAGGATCGGCCGTTCGGGTGATGGCGATGGCACCATGTTCAACCTGGTCCTGCTGCAGCAGAAGGGATAAGGAGGAGCAAGGAGGAGAGTCGCAGGAGTCAAAACCTTGTCTTTGAGAATCTCGATCCATTCCTTAGCCTTCACCACATCCCTCTGCTGCTCAACGACGTGCCCAAATCGATCCCCGAGGAACCTCAGCGCCGCGAATCCCATGTCAACCCGGTCAGAGCCCTGCGCAAAGACTTGCATGAAGTCAGAGCCTCTTCCTCCTCTTTCAACCCAGCTCACATGTCTTGTCGTGCTCTGAATCAGGAAGCCTGAACAGCTGCTTGCATGCAGCCTTGGAGCAGGAGTTGTTCTCCAGCAGGGGTTTGATGTCTTTCCTCGAGATGAAATCGCAGAGCCTCTGATATACAGGCATCACAGTCTCTGACGACGTCAACTTCTCCAGCTCTGCCTTCAACTTGTGCTGTGAGTTGACAGCGTTGACGTCAATGGCCTAAAAGGGAAACGCCGAATCAGAAGATGCACTGGGGAAGATTTTACAAAGGCGGCGTTACCTTGCAGAATCGGAAGATGTTTCGGTAGACTCTGAGCGCAATTCTTTGGTTTGGGTTTGGCATCGTTAGAAATCTCTAGATACTGAGGGAAAGATGTCAGAAAGAACCCCAATATTGCAGGGTATCTCGTCTTATGCCAGAAACCAACTATTATTGTCTGTCTATATCGGTAGTATCAACAACCCCATCAACTATGTTGTTCCTCTTCCTGGCTTCGATCTCTTCTTGGTGCTTTCGATGGCGGGATTCTGTCACCTACCCTGGTCACGACAAGTGCCATTTCAAGCCTCTATGTATCACCCTACTTCAACCTGAGATCCCTTCCTCAGCCATCCTCCTCTTCGATTCGATTCGTCTTCACTGCCTCCTCCTTCGCCTCCTCCCCTCCCCTCCTCGTTTCCTTCACTCGCACATGCCGCTCCCCCCAGCCTCTCTGGCATTGGGGTTACAAGGCTGGAGCACCTCACGGGGGCTAGTGTGATGACCCCACCTTCTTTAAGAGATTTCCCCTCGACAAATCGGGTAGGGTACCTAGTAAAGGATTGTACCTTTGCCCCCATTTTTAAAAATATTTAATGATCTTGGTACCTATTCAAAAATAATGTATTGTAAAACTGAGCGTTTGAGCAGAAGCCAGTTTTACAAACATTATTTAAGGAGATTGAAACCGAAAGATATTCTTTTCGTTTTTGTGGTAAAAATGACGGCACGTGTCACGAGATTTCGCTCGAAATGTGCACCCCACCCAACCAAATTTGACCACCCTACCCGTCTATTTTACCACGGAGAGCACCCTCAATCATGGACATGACCCCACCCACCATACCACATGATTCAAAAACACAAATTAAACGTGATTTTTACTTGATGTACCCTACCCCTCGATTTACCTTGCACCTCTGTCCACCCTCACCCCCATAAATTCCACCGCTTCATTGTGAGAATGTGGGTGGGTTAAACAGCGCTTGTTCATCCTGGGGTGGGTCAGAATTGTTCAATGAGGGGGTCCCTCACTTGTGGTTCCACTATTAAGTTTGCGGCTAGTCAGGGGGTAGGGTGGTGGAAGCCTCTTTCTACCTAGGCGCATGGTCATCAGGCCAACCCTTCCAGCAACCCAGCGGTAAAACGGGGGACGAGAGGAGGTGGGGGGTAGGGTAAGGGGTAAAACATAAGGCTCTCAATAGATAGACGAGACCTTCACAGGGTAAGGAGTGAAGTAGTGAGGTGCTATGGGAATGGACGTCCGTAGCGCCAGGGGAAGGGGAGGGGCATAATTACTTAGAAGCAAACTTAGAGAAATGTAGATCTTGACAAAGGGGATTGAGGCCTACAATAGATGACTAACGGACCTGAACAGAGCCTGATCTGTGAAAGTGATCCGCAGCGGTTGGTTGACCAGAAGGTGCAGGCTCGGAATGACTACCGACCAGTAAACCGGCGACCAGTGAAAGTACTGTAGTACTGAGCCCTGAGTGCCACTCGGGTAAAAGCCACGGTCAGCCTGAGGGTCATGGCACCTGCACTCAAATGCGCCGGTCTAACCCAACGCTCCCACGACCATAGTACGGTCGCAGCCTGAGGCGGAGTCCGACGGTCCGGCGGGGCCGCGACCGGTCACCGGGGTGGCTGACGCCGGTAGGCTTCCTTAAGTTCAGTGAGTCCGAGGCCAGCACTAATAGCCTCGACTCTCCTGATTCGGATTGTCCTGAGTCGTACTGCACTTTAACTAGCTTCCTTTGCTGGCAAAGTTTGAGTTTAAAATCAGGCCCTCCGGGCATCCGAAGTGAGTGGCACTGCGCGGCAAGTATCCGGCGTCCGGCGGCTCAGTACTGCCCGGGATGAGGGCCCGGTGCCGCAGCCTATGATAGCCCCGGCTGGGCCGGCCGGGCGGGCCGGCGGGCCGGACTCGCTGGGGTGCCTTGCACCGGTCCCAATAGTTGGTATTCATGGGGTGGGGGTAGTAACGTCCCGCCATGGCGAAAACGGTGAGGCAGAGACAGAGGGATGTAGGGAGGGAAGTTGGAAGAGGCCAAGAAGGGGATGCATGGTACAAAGATGTGTGATCTCTTGTTGCCATGACAATGTCTTCCTGTTGGTTTCTCTGAACTAATTCAGCCAGCGAGTGACATCTATGATAACAGAACGTCTATTTCGATGTGGAGATAGATGCAGTGCCTCTTGGAAGGATTGTGATGGAATTATCCGACAAGTACGTGGGTCTTTGTGACATTCGATCATCATCTCACGATTTCCCCTCAGAACTCCGAAGACCAGTGAAAACTTCAGAGCTCTTTGTACGGGCGAGCAAGGATTCAGCTATCAAGGATGCCCCTTCCATCGCATCATACCAGGATTCATGGTGCAGGTGCAGCACAAAACGTTCATGGTATCTCCAGACCGGTAACACAGAGCAGGGCGGCGATATCGTGAGAGGAGATGGAACAGACGGGAAGTCTATTTACGGGAAAGTGTTTGAGGATGAGAACTTCGAGCTGAAACACAGCGAAGCTGGGGTAAGAGGCGTTGGCGATCTCGTCTGTACTCACCAAGACTGTACAGTTGCTCTCCATGGCCAATACCGGGCCAAACACGAACTCGTCACAGTTTTTCATCACGTTGGGCAAGGCTGATTGGTAGTGCGAGCAAATTTTCAGAAGATCAGTGACTGTTTGGAAGGTTGGATGGAAAGCATGTTGTTTTCGGCAAGGTTGTAAGACACATCCTCTGTACCTTGAGATGACTTCTTGCTAGGTTGTTGCAGGAATGGAAATCGTCCAAGCTCTTGAGAGGTGAAACTGGCCCTCCTTCTCTTTCTCGTACTCAGACAACCATCAGTTTCGGATCTAAGGATGGAGACGTGAAGGAAGATTGTCGCATCGCCTTGTGCGGGCAACTCTAGCGACAAGAAACTCAAAGCAAGAAAGATGTGAAGGACTGGGGGATATTATTCCATGATATGTGAACATAGTTGTGATCTCGCCGTCTTCTTTTCATGCGGAGATTTGCACCTCGTCGTCCTCTACAGCCTCAACGTCAACCGTACCCTTGCGCTTCTTAGACTTGGCCGACTTTGGCTTCCTGGGACTTAGTGTGAGGGCAGAGTGGAAGGGGAGGTAGAAAGGGAACGGAGGGGGGGAGAGATGATGGGGGCGAAGAGAGGACAAGGGAGTCAGATGCAGGAATCAGATTGTCGTTGAGGTCGGTCTTAGAGGATGGAAGGAAAGCGGGAGATGGGAAAGCGCAGGATCTGTGGCACAGGCAGACGAGGAGAGGATGAACGACTTACTTGTCATAGAGGAAAGGCTCTCCCCATTCGCTCTTCCTGGCACAGCGATATCCATACTCCTCCCCGTGCGACTTGGCGACTTGCCTGAACGTTAGGTCTCCTCCCTCCACACAAGGACATGCTCTGACCAATGCGCTTCTCTGCCCCCCCGTCTGCATTGCACAGGCTCAGGATGACGTGCCCCTTGCGTTTCTGTGGGTTTGAAACGATCCTTCCCCAGTTGACCCTGTCAGTGAAGCCCTCCATCCTAGGATGAGGGAAGTCAGGGAAGGCAAGCGCTGGGAGGTAGAGGCGCTGACATCGACTTGTGGCAGAATGCCACGTAGGAGAACTTCCAGTCAAGATAAGGACGAAAACGAAGATTTGACTTGATCTGAGTGCACGTTAGAGGACGAGAGGGTTGAAGGTGTCGTGGACCGTGCGGTAGAAGGAAGGAGCGTTGATCCTCTGTGGAGTGGTGCATGCTGGGGGCCAGATATGCTTCTAATGACGATGGGCAAAAATTGTCAGGGAGGAAGAGGTACAGCGGGAGAGCACGAAGAGACAAGAGAGGAGAAGGGGAGGAGAAGGAGAGGAAAGGAGGGAAGACGCTGAGGAGGAGCCGGGGGTGCCGGGGATGAGAAAGTGAAGGAGGAGAAAGACGGTCCCACCTCCTCTGATTCCTGAGCCTGAAGTACTGAACACCTACTTGCATGTGGACAAGGTGCAACAATCTTTGGAAGGAGAATGAAGTCAGCAATTCCATCACAGGATTGAAAGGCAGGAGAGGAGGAGGAGGAGGAGGAGGAGGAGAAGGAGGAGGAGGAGAAGGAGGAGGAGAAGGAGGAGGAGGAGGAGGAGGAGAAGGAGGAGGAGGAGAAGGAGGAGGGAAGGGGAAGGAG